TGACTGTGTCGTTCAGTCTTGCAGGGAGCTATCCACTGATATTTGCATGGTCAGGGGCAAAGGAGGACAGGGCCTCTGTGGTGCAGAAGAAGGGATGTTGGGCGATGCAGCTGGTAAGGCACTTGCTGAAATGTCCTTTTCCTTTGCCTCTAGGTGGCATAAAGTACTGCACAGTTGCATCTGGCACTTTTGGCCAGTGTTTCCACATATAACTGGAAACGCAGGAACATTCCCTAGAAAATGTGCATACTTTTGCTTCTGGGGTGTCCTGAAGTACTGATACTGGAAAGCTGTCTCTGCGAACACCACAGCCCACACTTGCCTTGTGCAGTCACTTGAAAGTCATGCAGATGGGTAGGGACCCAACACATGCTAAAGATCACAACACAAATGGATTGTAGAAATTGGATGTACTGCATCGACAGACACATAAAACCACCACTCCCATTAGCACCATGAAGAAGTTCGTTTGGTGTTACAACATGTCTGCAGGGACAAACAATGCTGTCATCATCATCCTCCCCCGCCACCATGTGAAAGCAGACAGTGATGAAAGAGAAGCCATAACTGGTCCTTCACCCGTGGTATGAATAACTTCTCAGTAGACAAGATAAACATCCATACCAGCAAGCTGGTTCAACCACTAGACTTGCCTTTCTTAGGATTCAGGTAGATTGTCTGCTTTGTTCTACAAAACTTTGTCTTTCTTTCTTTCTTCATGTTATATTAAACAGCTAAAAAAATGCTCTGGCGACTGGGGAGGGTGGTGTTTTGATGATGTTATAAAAACTAGCCAACTGGTGCTTCCCCCACCCCCACCCCCAGCTGGCTTTTCCCCAGGTCAGATCCACTTCTGTACTCTCTCCCTTCTGACCCAGTCTGCAGATTGCTCAGAGGCGAGAGGCTGCTCTGTGTCCTCTTTCTTGCATTGCTCAGAGAGGGTAGGTGAACCGACAGCGACACTGCAGAGGAGGGCCATGAGGCCTGGAGTGTGGCAGTGGGCTTGCAGCAGGGATGTGGGCCTTGTCAGGTGCCCAGGAACTCCTATCTCTGATGCAAGTCCAGATTCTATAGGAGATAAGTTATCCTTGGGGTGCCCACGGGTGCCTGTGTGCCCACCAGCAAAGGCCATGATACCCACAAAAGGTCTTAGTAAATATCTCCTCAAAAATCTACAGTGCAGATGAAGTTGCTATTCCTGCTTCGTTTCTGTTTGCCTTGGCTCAGCCTCTCTTACACTGAATATTACACCTTAAATATGTCATTGGATGCCAAAGCTAGATACCCTCCCTCCCATAGCTGTCAACGTTTCCCTTTTTCTAAGGGAAATTCCCTTATTCCGAATAGGATTCCTCACAAGAAAAGGGAAAAGTTGACAGCTATGCTCCCTCCTAGTCTGAACAGAGAAGAGGTGCAAAGAGCTTCCTTCTGTATTCACAGAATAGTGGCTGGTGTAGGTGCCTTCCTGCCCACCGCCACCACAACTGATGGGAACATGCAATCTTGTGGCAGCGTCTTTTTCTGCATTTTTAGATGTGGCAGTCATATATTTTTTTATGCCGCAGCCCCAGGGCAGCCATTCTGTGACTGGTGTCCACAATACTTTCTCAAATTCCAAATGTGCCCATTGGCTCCCCAAAAGATTGTCAATCTCTGCTATAGTATATTAGATGACAAGGTGCATTGATTCCCCATATCTTCAGACATGAGCATCATGGGGGAAAGTCACAAAGGAAAACAGGTGTGCCCAATTTTTTGTGTGACTTTATATGCTCAGGATCTGGTTTGAGAGGCAAAACTGCACATGGAAGAAACATATCCTGAAGGATGCTAAGCAAGATGCTGGGCAGAATCTAAATATCAGCATATAAATGGAAGCAGAGTAGCTCCAGTAATTTCTTATCTCTCATTTGTTTTATTCTTTGAACAGTAAATAACAATGCTCTTTTCTACACAATTTTATTTTGCACATATATTTTTTTAGTTTTGGGGGTTGTTTTAACCAGCAAACAAATAAAGGAAATGGACTCTTATCTGCAGACATCAAGTGTATTTTGAAATGAGTTCCACTTACATAGAAAAGTATAGCTATTCTCCTCCGCACCCTCACACATGATATTTGCCTTCAATGTATACAGTGGTACCTCGGGTTACATACGCTTCAGGTTACATACGTTTCAGGTTACAGACTCCGCTAACCCAGAAATAGTGCTTCAAGGTTAAGAACTTTGCTTCAGGATGAGAACAGAAATCGCGCCCCAGCGGCGCGGCAGCAGCAGGAGGCCCCATTAGCTAAAGTGGTGCTTCAGGTTAAGAACAGTTTCAAGTTAAGAACGGACCTCCGGAATGAATTAAGTACTTAACCCGAGGTACCACTGTACATACATTTTTGTATCTACTGGGCATGCCCAATAGGCGATTCTGAGATTCTACATAGCAGAGAAAAAGAAGCCACATACACAATGTAATTTGTACACTTTGGCTACATATATATCATGTCTGGAGTATGGAGGAGCTAATTCACATATATATGCCATACAGGATTCTACCCACAAGTTTCAAAGTGTTAATCCAACTTATTTTTGGGTGCTTTCGTGTTTAAAATTGTTTCCTTACAAAGAGGAACCTCCTCCAGATGGCCCCACAGTTCTGTTGCCATGGCAGTTTGTGTTGTTGCTTCCGTGTACTTTTTAAGGGACAAAATAACTATTTTCAGTCGCCAGAACAAACAAAAGGGCAGAAAAAACTGGGTAGGGAAATGGTGTGATACCTAGAAACTCACCCACTATTCCAAACCCACCTGAATTCCTCTGGGGGTCAAAAATAGCCATAGGACAATTAAAACAGAGGAAGAGAAGTGTTAGCTACATTTTCCATTCTAATATGAAATCAAATGCAAACATCTGGAAAATAAATTCAGGGGAGATGGTAAGTTGTGTGGGGAAGACTTTAAAGAGCTTCTTTTAAATTTGTCTACCTGTTTAACTAATAACTTATTTAAAACAGAGTTTCCAACTGACACCCTCCCCCAAGTACCTGATCTATTATTGTGTGGCAGGAGTAACTTGATCTGTGAATAAATAAGCATGTGAAGCTTTAAGGTGTGGAGATGAACATCATCACCAGCTAATATTTCCACACCAAACTGCTCTTAAAGGCACTGTTACAAAGGTGTTTGGAAAAGTTGGAAGCCCTGTTGAAAAGAGCAGATAATTTAGCTTTGTTTTAAAGCTACATTGGCAATTGCAATAAGTTTGCATTCAATATCTTGAAGCAAGAGAGTTTTTATTAAATAGAAGTTAAAACAACTAGTTTTCTGCCTTCAGCTGGTCAGGCTCCATCCACTCATAGATTCTCCAGGGATCATCTTCCAACTCCCATCCCAGTGTTTCTTATACGGAAAAGTCTCTCAATTACTACAATCACCACAGTCATCATATGCAATCCTAGTTCACAGGATGGATAATTTTTGGGAGTACACAGGTGCATTCCCATCAGCTTGTGGTATGGGGAATCAAGCATCCTGTCAGGTCACAATCCCAAAAATTTAGGTTCATAATAAGAGTTACTTTTAGCTGTGCAGCTTTTCCTTTAATGCTTGCTTGATGTGCAGACTTTAGCAGATTATAATGCTTCTCTCCATGCTGTGAATATATCACCGCCTGAGGTGAAATGGGAAAGTGCCGCCCTCCCACCCCCCTTTGATTACTGGAGTGACATGACTGCAGCTTCTGGGTTCTGGTGAGATCTTGTGAGAGGTCTGTGAGATCTCACCAGAACCGGGAAACCAAAGCTGCTTCTCCTCACTTCTCTGGCATTGGTGGCAGAGGTAGGCACAGTCAGTGGTGTAGCGTGGGGGGTGCAGGGGGGGCCGGCTGCACCGGGCGCAACATCTGGGGGGGGCGCGCTCGCACTCACAGCTCTCTGCCCCTACCTGGCTCACTCACTCTCTCTCACTGCAGTGCTGGCTGTGCGAATCTGATCCGAGCCGCTGGGTCGCCGCCCACTGTGGAGGGGGTGGGTGCCAGGCGTGCGGGTTAGGGGGCACAAATTACTTGCCTTGCCCCAGGTTAGGGGGCGCAAATTATTTGCCTTGCCCCGGGTGCTGACAACCCACGCTATGCCGCTGGGCACAGTACCTGTGAGGGTGCCACCCCTTGGGATTCTGCCATCCGAGGCGGCTGTCTCAGACCTCCTCATGGGCAGGGCGGCCCTGGAACAGAGGGAATTGCCTTATACCAGGTCAAACTTCTAAAATAAAGGAGGACTGCAAATTCTAACATAATGAGGAACCTGTGAGACTACCACCCATCACCTTTGACCATGCTGGATGGGTCTGATGAAAGTTGGAGTCCAAAATGTCATCCAGGTGTACTACAACTCCCACCAGGCCCAGCAAGCATGACTGATGCTCAACGGTAGGTGGAGGGCACCAGGTTGACGAAGACTCCTCTAGCCAGTCCAGCACAGTTAAGATGGAGTAGGCTGAAAATTAGTTTTAAAACCAGATGGTGCTCTCAACATAAACTGTAGGATGATGTCCCAAGTGGTCTCTCTCACTCCCTTCCCCTTCCCGAGCCCTACTAAACAACCCTACTGAGCCACACGAGGAATTGCTGAGGATCTTCCCCACAGCATAAACTAGCTCATGGATTGGAAAGAAACAATGCAGAGTTCACTGTCCTAGGAAAACCGAGCTCAAGCCAACTTTGGATTTGATTCATTGGTCTGCCTGCCTCTCCACTGTTAATACTCCAAGGCCTCGGTCGGGGGGAAGGGAGTGAGCGAGGAAAAGCTATTTTTATCTCTCTCGTTCCCTTTCATGCATTCTTCCGAATTTCCCCTTGGCCTTGTAGAAAAAGAAAGTCATCACGCAACTCCCAGCGGGCAGCGGCTGCTTTAAAAAACTAACCCCGCCCCCTGGCTGGAGGGAGGGTTCCCTAGCCGGTGACGTCTGCCGCGCTCATTGATAAAAGCCGCGGGATTCCCTGGCCGCGGGTAGAGGCAGCGTGCGCGCGCGAAACTGCCGGGGCTCCACGTGATTTTTGTGCGGGGAGAGAGAACCGGGGAGAGGGCCGGCCCGCTCGCAGTAAGTGGGCCCCGTCAGCCATGGAGCCCGCTTGCTTCCTCCAGCCCCACCCGTTCGGCGACCCTGGGGTGGGCTCGGATTTGTACAAGCCTTCGCCTCCCGCGGTCACTTCGCCCAAATCCGACCGGGTAGAGCAGCCGAAGCCAGCCGAACCGACGCGGATCATCACCGACCCGGTCTCCGGCAGATCCTACAGCAAAGGCCGCCTGCTTGGAAAGGTACCTGCGGCGTCTTGGGAGAGCGGTGGGCGAAGGAATTTCTCCCTTCCCAGCCCCGCTGCCTTCTAGTCTGAGCCGGCCGGCTTCTAGCGTGTGCGGCCAGAGCTGGGTTGTGGCGCGCCCTAGTGAGGGATCGTGGATTTAAGGGCCAATTCCGACACCACCACCCCGAAAGCTACCCGCGAGTTACGGCGGAGGAGACTTTCGCATAGGGTGACGGACAGCAGCACCCGCGGCTTGTCGCGATAGGGGACCCAAAAGCGCCTCATCCGCTTTCCTTCCTCCCTCTTCTCGTTCTCTATTTGCTCGCGTGGAGGGTTTCCTTCCCCCGCCAAGACTTCCCGCTTGATCCGAGGCAGGCATGTCGAGGCACGACTCTTTCTCTCTCCACCCCCCATCTCGTTTTGTGTGGGGCTTCGGGTGCAGATGGGGCTTTAATATTTAACTACTCGTCATTCATTCCCCCACTACGTATTTTAGTGCGCTCTTCCCCGTCCACCCACCCCACCCCCAAATGAGGAATCGTCCCAACAAGCGACCGGAGCTTTTAAAGAAGACTAGATAGAAACGGTTACGCTACCCAAGTGGGTCTTAGTTTGGGGGGGTGCGAGAGAGGGAGAGAGAACGAATAGGAGGCGGGAAATGGCTGCTGTTTTCCCCAAAAAATTACAATAGGCCATCTCTTAGGACTTCTCCAGGGCAGCTATGATTCCATTTGACTGAGTCAGGCACGTCTGGGACCGGATGTTCAAATCGTTGTTCTTAGCCCTTTGGCGACTAGTAAGCCGTTTTCTGGTGGGTTTCTTTAGGTTTTGGGTTCTCTTGCAGATGCTGAACTGCAACTACTGGTCTAATTCAGTGAATATGTTCTGGGATGCCGTAACAGATCCCAAGTGCATTCTTATACTATTTGTACAACATGGACCACAGGGATTTGGGGGGGGGGGAGAGGGGGGAAGGGATATGGTTGGTGATTTAGATTACTTAATCTGCATTATTTATAGTCCTACTTCAACAAAGTAGGTGCTGGGGAAAGTTTGTCTACCACCATTCCTTACACCTTCTAGAGAGCTAGTGTGATACCATGATTGGAGTGCTGGGATGAGATGTAGATGGCCATATTTAAAATTCTGTTTGCATGAAGTTTGTTGAGTTACCTTAGGCTGGTCATAGTCTCTGCCAACTGTTCTGTACAGGGCTAAGATTATGCTACTGTGACCTCCTTGGAAGAACGGTGGAGCCTAAATGTAAAAAAATTAGCAGACAACTTGGGGATTGGATCCCAACAGTTTCTCATGTTTATCCAGGAGTGTCAAGTAGCTTGCTTACCTCATGCAGTAGATTGCTATTGGAGGCTTGCTAATCTGCAATATGGAGGTTTCAGAAGGGTGGTGAGTGTCTGTTTCTGCTTGAAACATACGTTGTAGATATTTCCCACATTTATTATGCAATTTTTGTGATATACAAATGACATGAGAAACTTGGTATACATACTTGTATAACATTATTGTATATAAAATCCTAATAATAATAATAAGCACATATCTGATGCTTACTGTTGCGAAGCCATGTGAGCTTGCTAAAGATCAGGGATCAGCAACCGTTTTCAGCCGTGGGCCGGTCCACCATCCCTCAGACCATGTGGTGGGCTGGACTATATTTTTGGGGGAAATGAACGAATTCCTATGCCCTACAAATAACCCAGAGATGCATTTTAAATAAAAGGACACATTCTACTCATGTAAAAACACGCTGATTCCTGGTCTGTCCACGGGCCAGATTGAGAAGGTGATTGGGCCGCATCCGGCCCCCGGGCCTTAGGTTGCCTACCCCAAGTGGCGTAGCGTGGGTTGTCAGCACCCGGGGCAAGGCAAGTAATTTGCACCCCCTAACCCGTGGATTTGCGCCCCCTAACCCTAACCCCCAGATGTTGCGCCCGGTGCGGCCGGCCCCCCCTGCAACCCCCACGCTACGCCACTGCCTACCCCTGCTAAAGATGCTCAAATGGATTCTAGGCAAGGACTTCAGTGATTGGAGAAGGGGCCTTCTGTCTGCTGTTCCCTTAAAGGAGCAGGGGCCTTCAGGGTTCCATTCATCCTTTGTTCCATTCTATAGCATCATTCCCTGGCAAATGCAAATTTTGCTCAGCAGCCGATTTAGTAACAAAGTCTGCAAAAGGATGCAATTTTTTGTTGACAGTTAGAAAGGAAAAAAGATGACAGAACATTTTAGAACAGTAAAACAAATACAACACTGTGGTAATAGTTGATGAGATGTTGCATGACTGCACTGGTTATATGCATTGCAAACACTGGTTTCCCAGACTGCGCATATATTTTTCTTTTTTGCCTTAGAACTCTTCTGATTCAATTTTTTCCCCCTGGCTCAAAACCACCTTGCTCATTGAGCAATCTGTGTAATCAGGTTTCAGAGTAGGGGGTGGGGGAAAAGCAGCAGCATTTCCACTGGAAATCTCTCCTCTTGGTGAGCAAAGCTGGCATTGTTTCGAAGATCGTGCTTTGAAGGAGGGGTGCGTCGGTTGGTTCCTTTTGCCCTACATCAAACAATGTGATGTGTCATATGGAAAATCTGCTCATTGTGTATGGGGGTGTCTTGGCACTTCCAAACGCGGTAGAGCTAATGTCGAATTTGGCAGTGTGTATAATTCTCTCTCCCCCCCCAACCCCTGTTCTTACTGCTTCTTTGAAAGACCCTTTCTGGCAATACCAGCCAGAGCTGTTTCTGTGCTGATGCCCAAGCTAGGATTTTATGAGAAACTGGTTTCTCTTTGTTCAGGATGTTGTATAGGTGTGAGGCTTATTTTAGGTAAGGTGTAGGCTGCAGCAAAGATATACTTTCTTTACAGCTGGAAAAACCTGTCTCTAGTCCTCCTTCAGTGCTGGTTGTCTTGTGAGAAGAACTAAATCATACTCTGTTAAAAAAAGCATGATGACAATGGGTGTGGGGAAACCCAAAGGAATAGACACAAACCCTAGGATAGTGAGAGCTGTAACATGAAATAAAATGTATGCCTGGAGAATGTGCTAAACCATAGTCAGAAGTGGAACTGTTTCTTTAAAATGGAATGTTTTCACTACATAACATGTTCAAATGTTTGAATTAGGAGAATATTTTGTTTACCATTACGAAAATAAGTTGGTTTTCAAGTTACACAAACTTGCCCATAAATTTTGAATATCCAAAGGGGCAGGACACAAATGCTGGACTTCCTCTGTTCAAGTTCCTCAAACTTGTCCCTCCTGACTTGGAATGGAACTTTTATTTTATTGAGCCATATACTTGGCCTAGGTTATAATTTCAATATATTGCAATGTCACTGAGGGAATGGAATGGAATGAAAGAAATGTTTTGAGCATGTTTCCCAAACTTGAAATTATGATGCTGGATCCCTCTCGTTTAAACAAAACTTGGAAGCCCGTGAAATATTTGAATTGATTATTGAGTCTGTTCTTTAGCACCATGGTTGAGATATTACTGTGCTTAAGTGGCTATGACTATGTTTTGAAGTAGTCCATCCTTAAAGGACTTGAAGGGTGAGTTCACATTAGCTCTTGCCATCTGGCTGGGTTCCTGTTTTGGTATACTTTGCCTGAGGTGCTAAGGCAGTGATCTCAGGCACATGTTAGATGTTTCTCACACTTCAGGTTAGAATGCTGTTAGTCATGCAGCAATTGCATTTTCTGTGATCTCATCCTACTTAGATCTGAATTGGATCCCGTCCTAATCCTGTTTCCTTGCTTTTTGTGGTCTTGATGTCTAGTTCTAGTTTTAGGCGAAGATCTGAGAGAATGCTGAGTATGTTGAAAGCAGGCACATGAACCTCAGTCCAAAGTCCAACCATTGACAAGCATCAGACCTCTGGGGTCTCTAGCAAAAAATGGTCTTTCCACTACTACTTATGAGCCTTTTAACTAGAGATTTTCTGTATATACAGCATATGCTGTACAACCAACCTTCTGAACTAAGGACTCCTCTTCTGATACCCATTACGCATGAATGAAAGCAGGCAGTTCTTCCAGTAACTTGTGATACCTTAAAAGAAGAGCCTTAAAATCTATCCTCAACTAGTGTTTTATGTTGACTTAGTTTTGGTGGCAAATATAGTCCTAGCACTTTGGCTGAAGACCGCAGTTCCCCTATTTTTATTTTAGAAGTCAAATTGATGGTACAGGTGCCAGGGGGAAATGAGACCTGAGATGCTTCCCGTGAGTTGCTAATCTATCAAGGACAAGAAAAGAGTTCTCTTTAGCCCACCCTCCTAATTGCTGCCTTATTGGTTTGCAGGGTGGATTTGCAAGGTGCTATGAAGTAACAGACCTCTCGAGCAACAAGACCTATGCAGTGAAGGTCATTCCTCACAGCAGAGTGGCCAAGCCACACCAGCGGGAGAAGGTATGTAGCTCCCTAGTCCTGAGCAGAATGAGGATAGCTGGGGTGTTGGCCATGTCCTAGCTACCAACTCTTTCTGATTATGCTTCTTCCAGATCATCAATGAAATCGAGCTGCACAGAGACCTGCACCACAAACACATCGTGAAGTTCTCACATCATTTTGAGGATACGGAGAACATCTATATCTTCCTTGAGCACTGCAGCAGGAAAGTGAGTCCCAACTTTTCTTTCTCTACAGAGAATCTGTACCTCCCCAACAAGCATACTTTATTTCTATTGGACTCAATGTTTTATTGCACTGTGAACAAAGGGCAGCAGAAATAGAACCTGTAGAATGGTTTGCACTGAACAACAGGTCTCTGCCTATACGAGATATATCATCCACTGGATACTTCCCATGGGTACAATGGATGAAAGTATGGTTTTCTGTTATGATTAGACATGGTAGGAAAAGGTGGGATATATTACTGCAGCACAGGGAGTTGCTGGATTAGAATGCCTCTTATTGTGTCAAAGCAGTAGGACCAGTAATAGTGGCAATTAGTGCTGCTGTCAGACATTTCCCAGGAGTGCTGGGGACCATGTAGGTCAGGCAGACCTCTTTCAGCATCCTTGGGAATGTAGGAATGTTCACAGGCAGGTTTCCTTACCGATACTGAATTGGCACATTTGCTGTTTGCCATTTGATACTCCTGCTTTGCATGATACAGCGCCACAAATGCTTGCATAAGAATCTGTCATACAGGTGCCCTTGGCATGGAAGCTGCAGCTGCCATGCATAACAGTCATGCTGTTTTAGCTGCTTGTTCTGTTTGCAGTTCAAACCCCTGTAAACACAGTAAGTCAGCCACTGGCATCTTAATGGCTTTGGCTGCTCTGGGATAGATCAAACTTGATATAAAACTGCCCTGCAAGGATTACTTGTTGGAATAGTGCTTGTATAGAAGGAATTGGGATCGGATCCAGGATTTCACACAGAAACTTCATTTTGCTAAAACAGAACTGGTTATTGCTATCTAGAGGCTGTTCTTGGAGCACTTCAGTTGCATTTCTTAATGTTTAATAGAGTTCGTTTATCTTCATTCGGCTTGCTTGTAAGCCTTGCATGATTAAATCTGCAATCTTCACATCCATTTTGGAATAACTGTTGGGAGAGGTTTAGTAAATCCCCCTGGAATCTTGGAATTTTTGTGATTAGACCCTGAAAAGAGATTTATTTTGAGAGAAGCCATAAAACATGAAGACGCATCCCTAGCTGGATTCAGAGGTTTAGGATGGGAGAAGGAGGAGAATCTGATAGTGGAAGACAAGTGTGTGAGAGTTTGGAATACTTGCCCAAACCACTGTTTTGCACCTGAGAGGAGGTTGGCTTAGCATTGCCCAGTGAGCTTCATGGCTGAGGAGTCCTTTGAGGAGTCCAATACTAATACTGGAACTACACCGCCCTGGTTCTTGCCTGCAATACACCAGGACAACTAGTCATTCTTAGACTAATAATAGTCTGCAAGAGCATCTCTGTAACCAAACCTTTTCTCTTGCAGTCTTTGGCACATATCTGGAAATCCCGGCACACCCTTCTGGAGGCAGAGGTCCGATATTACCTCAAACAGATCATCTCTGCCTTGAAATACCTCCACCTTAAGGGCATCCTGCACCGGGATCTGAAACTGGGTATGTGCAACATAGCTGCTCTCTTGTTCATTTGGGAGCGGATTTGTATTGTTGAGGTTGAAGTAACCTTCAGAAGTCAGCATCTAATCTCCTTGTATCTTAGAAACTTGCATTTTAAAAATACAAAAACTGGGTTTCTAGATACTAAAGCCTATTCAGGAAATGCTGTTCTGTGGGGAATAAGCACAGCTTTGTCTTCTAGGTATCAAGAGGAGGAACTGCTGAGACAGTTGCACAATGTTTGACATTTAGAGCCCTGTTATTTTCTGTTGCAGGTAACTTTTTCATCAATGAAAACATGGAACTGAAAGTTGGAGACTTTGGTTTGGCTGCCAGACTGGAGCCCGCAGACCAGCGAAAAAAGTAGGTGGCTTGATGGATCACTTTCGTATGCTCTTTCTTTGTCGAATGCTGCCCTAGCTTACTCCAGAGTAAAGAGGTTCTCTTAAAGTGTCTCCTTGGCCTGTTTATCCCACCACACACACCCCTTTGCAGCTGTGTGCGTTTGGGGAAGGGGGAATTGGAGCACAAGAGGGACACTGAACTTGAAATACTCCTTTGCTTCAGCCTGGAACTTGGTGGTGAAAGGAACAAAGCAGTTACTGTGTGTGCAGTTCTGTCTAAGGCAGAAGCCTCATGTTTGCACAGCAGAGAGAAACAATGCCCAACCTTATATTGGATTTCTGCCTCATGCAAAGTGTTGCTGCTGTAACTGTGATGGGCAAGCATACAGCGTAGAAAGGAGTTCTGGATGGGGAAGGGTAGCAGTGAGTGGGTATAGGTGCAAGGGACAGCCGAGTCAGTACTATTGCGATTCTAGTCAGAAAGATGTGACTGAGGCTACTGGGAGGCTCACGCAGCAAAGTAGTATGGTATTGGTTGGTTCATTCACATGTTGCAGGGGCACCAGGGGGCTGGAAAAGGAGCTACAGTGGGATGCACCAGTCAGAGCCTCAGCTGCAGCCTTGAAAACTGGCAGAATGATCTTGTCAGATCAGGGTTTTTGTTACCCACTTGATCAGCTGTGATCCTATTGTAGTAAAATAAACCTTGTTCACTGTTTGCTTCGAGTTAAGAAACTATAATCCAGCCTGTACTATTGCAAAAGAGGACACCCAACGTCTAACAGTAGAACTCTTAAAAAAAGGGGGGAAAGAGACCTTTTTAAAATAAGAGTTCTGTGGTTAATTGAATCGCATGTTGTAACTTTCCCCAGGTACATGTTTACTCAGCTTAAATCTTTGCAGTAGGAAATGAATCTGAGAGGATGTTGTGAAAGTGGTATTTCTGTAGAAACTTCGGTGAGGTTGGCGTGGCTTGGCATGGTCTATGGTAGAAGATCTATGGCATGGTCTATGCTAGAAGATCTTAAGATGTCACAAATGAAGCTGCCCTGAGCCAGACCACTTGTCCATGATAGCCAAGGGATTGAGCCTGAGACAGAGTTCTGCATGCAAGGCCTGCACTCTATTCTTTCCCCTTTACTCTTCTGGCAGCAGCATTTCCTATGCCAGAACTTCCCTTTTTGTACTGCCGACATAGCAAGGAATCCCTGCTGTAGCCCAACTAATGATCCTATGTGTGTTTGCTTCCAGGACTATCTGTGGTACCCCCAATTACCTTGCCCCCGAAGTGCTCCTGCGACAAGGGCATGGGCCGGAGTCAGATGTGTGGTCTTTGGGCTGTGTCATGTAAGTCCAAAGCACGTTTTTCCCCCTCTGAAGGCTTCTTGCAGGCCTGTTTCAGTGCTGCAACTTCTTGGCTTTTTAGCTCTTTTTGTATAGCTAAATGGGAGGAAGGAGGATTCTTTGGCCAGCATGTTCTAGCACAGTGGTTCTCAACCTGCGGGTCCCCAGATGTTGTTGGACTACAATTCCCATCACCCCTAATCTCTGGCCTTGCTAGCTAGGGGTGATGGGAGTTGTAGTCCAACAACATCTGGGGACCCACAGGTTGAGAAAGGCTGCCTAGCACAACATAAACCTTGTTGAAGATTAGGTACTAAAAAATAATAGGCTACAAGCAAGAGGTTGGAGTGGGCGGCAAATGCAGGAACCCTAAAGAGAAGCTGCGATGAAATTAAATGCATGAAGCTTGGAGTCTGCATGCAGCCCAGCAGCCTAAATTCCAGCTGTTGACACCTTGCTTCAAACAAAGGATTCCTCTTCTCAAAAAATGTTGATGGCTTTGTCGGGGAAATTGTTAGTTAGCCACAGAGCACCACTGCATATCCCTCTATCTGGGGCTCAAACAGACAGGTGGTAATTGAAGTTGGGGTTATTGGAGATTGGTAGAATGAGGAATCAGTTTGCTCCAAGTATATTGGGATCAAATTGCAAACAGCTTTGTAGTGCACCATGTTCTGCACTAGATGAAGCTCACAAACACTTACCGAGGGCATCTTTAGAGGGAAAGTAGCGGTTGAAGCTTTTCAGAGGTTGATAAAGCTGAGGGCTTTGCCAATTTATTTCAAGTGCTCTTGGCTATGATAGTAGTGTGGAATTCCGGCTACCTGTTGGGTCCCCTGAGCAATGGAAGTATTGGTCTGAGTATTAGATAAAAGATGCTTGTATGCTGAGCATATGTTGCTAGCATAGCTTGACTGCAACTAGACCCATAAAGCTTTGCCCAAAATGACTGCTTAAATGTATTTCTGGGCCATATATAAGATGGTCTATTTTAAGGACAAATCTGTTTATTTGATGAAACTCAAAACACCACAAAGCTGCTGCTAATCTTCCACAATCTTATTGACAATTTCATTAGAACAAATGGAAAAAGTGGCTGGCCTGTGGTTCACGGCTGGCTATTTGGCTCAGGTGCTATTCGGCTGCTTTCCGGAGTGTCGTCTTAAAAAATAGTTTGTGCCTTCAGCTGTCTTTGCCCTGGTTAGCCACAGCTTCCTGTTAAGTTTTCACAGCGCAGTAAATGGAAATTTTTATCTTGAGTGCTGGGGGGTGAGGGAAGAGTAGCCTTGAAGCTGGTGACTGCAAAGGGGAGATCCCTCCTTCTCTCCTTTTCCCAGTTTTCAGCTAGGCACAGAACCTCTTCTAGAAAGGCTTGGCTTGCTAGCTCTGATCACATGGAAGGACTGTCACTTGCTCTCCGGATGTGCCTCCGGTCTGCAGGCACCTGAAGCAACAGCAGTGTCTTATGAGCTTCATTACAGGGAGCACTTAATTGGGTGTTGCCGCCTGTCAGACTTCCTCCAGAGTTGTTGCTGAGTCATGTGCTCATGGAGGCTGCCAAGGGCAGGCTGCTAGGCCAGAACTATTCTGGAGTCTTCTCATCACTGAGTGAATTCACCACTTGCCACCTTTCTTCTCCCCACCCCTCAGGTACACGTTGCTATGTGGGACCCCCCCTTTTGAGACTTCTGACCTCAAGGAGACCTACAAGTGCATCAAGCATGTCACGTATATGCTCCCAGCCTTCCTTTCCCTACCAGCCAAGAACCTGCTTGTTGGCATCTTGAAACGCAACCCCCAGGACCGCTTCACGCTGGAGGAGATCTTGGACCATGAGTTCTTCACCAAAGTGAGCAGCAATCGTGTGTGTGTGTGTGTGTGTGTGTGTGTGTGTGTGTTCTAGCGATGTCACTGCCAAGGTAGTAAGCTAGGCTACACAACATGCTGTAAGGTGAGAAGTGGCAATATCTCTTTCTTGGGGTGATAACTTCTTCCTATTCATATGGAGTCTGTGACTGGGCCACCACCATTATTGGAATGGCAGTGTTTTATTAATATGGGTATTAGCTCCTGGGATCCTGCCTGGATTGCAATTTAGATAATTACATCCTGCTTCTAATTATCGCTTAACAATCCTCAGATATCTTTGCTCTATGCTGCCTGGTTATTATACCCTTTCCAAGGGTGCATGTGATTTAGAGGACTTGCAAAACTTGTGAATGTGGCCAAATCCTGTCGATTGGCAATAGGGCCTTGAAGAAGCTGGCATTGGTCCAGTATATTGTGTACAGTCTGTTCTGATGCATAGCTCAGCTTCGCTAATTAGTTTCCTCAACTTTCAAGGGATACACGCCTGATAAGCTCCCACCCAGCAGCTGTGTGATGGTGCCAGAACTGAACCCTCCCAACCCTGCCAGGAGCCTGTTTGTAAAGGTCACAAAGACTCTCTTTGGGAAAAGAAAGTCAAAAGGTAAGTTGCACGTTGACCTCTTGTTCTGGGAACTGACTGTAGCCCCTGTGAAAACTTATGCTCACACTTCTGCTTAATAAGAGCCAAAGGCCCACCTAGGTCAGTGTTTGGTTCATGCCAAGGCCAACAATATGCCTTTGGGAAGCACATAAGCAAGGCATGAGGCTAATAGCAACATGTTGGTCCTGCCTGGAAGTAGCCACTAGTTTTCCCTTGATGTTTCATCTGCAGGATTGGGAAACTGGGAGATACTAGGATTGGCAATAAACTCCAGACACTGCAGCCCTTCACCACCTGATGCATGGAATAGAAGAATATGGGGAAAGGAGGCTTGCCACTTGGATCCGTAAATTAACACCAAGTGGCCAAGCCAGAGCAACCCCTAGAACTCCCATGTCAGTCCCTAACCCCTAATGTATGTACTTGACAGAGTCTACTTTAAGCACTATCTGCAGCCCTGACCTGTTGACTTTGTGTTAGGATCTTATTAACTTGTATTCTTCTTACTTTAGTTAAGAAGGCTCCTTCAGAAGAGAGAGATGATATCTCCAAGCTGGTAACAGGCCTTGTGAAGACCTCCATCTGTAGGCAACTGAGCCACAAAACTGTCGAAGGGAATGAGGTAAACTAACTGCAGGAACTTGGCTGTTCAGTTGTGGCTTTCAGAGGAAGGAAAGAGAAACAAGGAAGTTACCCTGCTATGTGCTGATCAGACTTTCTGCCTCCTTAGGTCACTCCTTTGAATGGTCAGAGTCCCGGCTCTAGCCCAGTAGATACGGTAGCAGAGGAAGGCTCACAGAAATCTATCTCCAGGTCCATTCGTGGGACAATGGCTAGCAGCAGCTGTGAAGGTGAGAAGTGGCAATGTCTCAATTAGCAGTTCCTCCTTAACAGTGTATTTTGGTCAGATGGAATCTGCTGTCTGTCAGGACTAGTCCCAGGGTGGTAGAGGGCCTTAAAGAGCAAAGCAGAGAAGCACTTCATCATGGACAGTAGGGCCAACAAGCAGTTTAAGTCTTGAGCAGACCGACTCTGAACTGGCAGGTTCAGTCTCACAATGCCTATCAGTCATCGAAACTGAACAACAAATCCATTCTTAGAGGCGGGGTAACTCTGGATACTGGAGACAATTGGGGAGGGCCATTGCTGTCACATCCTCCATTGTTTCTGAAAAAAATCATTTCTGCTCGTGGTTAGATAATGAATTCTATTCTGGGTTCGATGGTCTTTTGGCTGGGTCCTGTAGGTCTTAATGTTAGAAGTGGCTTAATTTGAGGATGCAAAAGCTGTGGCCCTGCAGAGGTTGTTGGGCCCCAACTTCCTTCAGCCCTAGACTGCATAGCCAGTGGTTGGAGATGATGAGAGTTGTAATCCAGCAACAGGGGGGCAAGGGGTCAACAGGTTCTTCAGCCTTTCTCTTCCCACTCCCGTTTGAATTTTGAGCTTCGGGAGCAGGAAATCTCTTGAGCTTGGCCCATGTAAGCTGATTTTGTAAAAACTTAACTATCTTCTTCCCCTCTTTCCCCCACCCACTAGTATTTGAAGACTGTGTCACAGCATCATCTGTCATTGAATCAGCCATTGGTCTTCTGAAGAACTGTCTATCTGTCATGCCACCAGGTAACTTAAGCTTCAGGGAGTATCACAACCCCTGGGATGGTTAGAGACACATGGAAGAACTGTTGTCTTGGATATTGATAGGGAGGAGAAGGAGAGGTGCAGCCCTAGTTCCTCTAACCCGCTAAAGAGGCTTTTAACATCAGGCTCCCTGGATCTCGGTTACCTGATATTTGTCGTCAAACAGAATAAGGGCCACCTCCTTTTAGGTAGCATCCTGATGGAATGCAGAAACTAAGGGGTGATGTGTGTGTCCATCTACCTATTTATCTAGATAAATGGTAATCCAATTATTAATTTGCAACATCTGGGAGTAGGAAAGTTGAGACTGATTCTGTTCCTATCCCAAGCATGACCTCTTCTCTTTCAACCTCATTTCAGTACCACTTTTGAAATAGGTTTGAACCTATTAGCTTTATTTAATGAGTACCTTTCTTCCCTGTCCAGCTGAGAGGAATCCTGCTTCCCTGGCTTGCCATGAGCACTTTGTCTGGGTGAGCAAGTGGGTGGACTATTCCAACAAGTATGGTTTCGGCTATCAGCTCTCCAACCACAGCATTGGTGTCCTCTTCAACGATGGAACTCATATGGCCCTCTCTGCCAACTGGAAGTGAGTGGAAGAAATGGACTTCCTGGAGGGTTTTGAGGTTGGGAAGTGTAGAAGTGTAGTCATGGCCTACCTTGACTAGGGCTCAGGTCCTACTTAGCCACCTTCTGGTGTGGTGAGGGGGACTGCAAGATATTGTATGGATGAAATTCTTGAGTAACCCACAAGCATGGGAGAAGGGGCTTCCCCTATTTGGAGCAAGGCTAGATAGAGGACTAGATTGTGGGAGGAGTTGAACATTGTGCTAAAGGAAGTATTTTTTTAGTGTGAGCATTTCTGCTTGCTAGGCAGAATGACCTCCCTTCTCCCTGTGTGTTCTGGCGGTTCTACCAACCCCTGCCCCCCAGTAGATTGAGGAGGAGAGGGCAAGTCCAGTTTGCAATAGCAGGCACCCTTGCACTGGCTTCAGCTAGTTGAATGCACTTAGTTGAATCAGGCTCTATCTTTATGATCTTATGGTTGTGGGGACAGTCTGTGTTTTCCCACATGGGGGGTTGTCTTGGGATGATGCAAAAGGTTTGATTCAATAAGGAACAGACAACCTTTAAGGGTTTGGGTTTTTTTGAGCATAGCAGATAGACCACTTTCATAAACTGAAGCTGAAGTTTTATGACTACAATCTGGCCACTGCAGCTAACTGCATTCTCTTTCCCTTCAGGAAAGTGCATTACAACCTGACAAACAGCAAGCATTTCTCCTTCCCGGCTTCAGCTGTCCCTGAGCAGCTGCAGGGGCAGATGGGTGTCCTGCAGTATTTTGCCTCATATATGGAACAGCATCTAATGAAGGTGAGCAGCTGCCTGGCATGGCGTAGTTGGTATGTGTGTACAGAGTTGGTTGCATTGGCTTGCTGACGACTCGACTCGATGCAGAAAACACGAGTTGCATTTTTGCAGAGAACAATCCCCCCTTGCTCTCAAGTATGTTTGACCATATTCAAGGTTCATAGGAAAAGCCTCCCTTGAGGTCTTGTGGGATACACCTGAAAGAACTGAAGCTTTCATCATATTGGCCAAACTTTGGTTCGTGGCTCCAAACACCAAAGCATGTATTTGGTGGGCTCTTTACTGCCAGATTCTGCACTCCTAGTTGCCTTGCCATGCCTGCTCACATCTTTATGACTACTTCATGTACTCAAAGTCTCGATTGGTGGATGGAGTAGGACTTCCTTTCTCAAAGCAGAGATGATCCATTAAACGGATGTGCTAATTCATGTTCCTTGAATTTGGCCAGTACTTATCTTCTCCTTTGGCTTGGCAGTAGTGTTAGGGATAAAGTTATACGGAAAAACAACTGCTAGGACTAAGCCAGTCATGTGGTGTCAATGATTCTCTAATTTCTCTTTTTTCTTCCCTTCTCTCCACTCCCTCCCCCCCCCCCAAAAAAAAATCCCAGGGAGGAGACTTACCCAGCATAGATGAGACTGGACAGGTTCCACTGTTGCTTCTACAATGGGTGAAGACTAATCAGGCCTTATTGATGCTTTTTAGCAATGGAACCTTTCAGGTAATAATGGCACCAAGTCTTTTTAGCAGATTACGTAGGCCCTATGTCCTACCTATTGATGGAGGTAGCACATGCTGGCGTTTCATATCCAGTTGCTATAACTATTGTGTGGGGTATAATCTGAAGTGTTGCCTTTTGATTTGGACAAGAAGCTTTCTATGGAGTGCTTCTGAGAATGTGGATGCTAAGCTGAAAGTAGATGCGGGGCTATCTGCTTTGTAGAGCACGTTCAGTTTGTTATGGCTATTCTGCTTTTTTTGAGTAGCAGCTGGTGTCTTGAAATTATGAATTCTAACACATTTTAAAGCACCTCTACAAATACTAAAACCTATCTGATTCCCATAGGCCCTTTTCTAAATCTGGATTCCTATCCCTTCAGCAGTTTGCCCTTTGTTTCCACTTAGATGGAGATGTCTGTGGTGGGGGCATAAAACTACCCTCCATATTAAGGCTATGCTAGCAGATACCTAGGTGCAGGCCGTGGTGGATGGCTAAACCCAATTGAGTTGGGAGTCCCAAAGGGTAGGGAGTGCTACACAGAAAGAGGCACAAGTATTAAATGTCTGTTGTGCTCCATCTCCTTTATTCTAGGTGAACTTCTACAATGATCATACCAAGGTGATCTTCAGCAAACCTGACCACACCTGCCTCCTCACCTACATAAACCGTGACAGGAATTCCTACACCTACAAGCTCAGCAGCATTGCAGAACTTGGTTGTTCACCGGAGCTCCAGCGTAGGCTCAAATACATCCTTAAGCTGCTTCAACAGCGAGTAGATGCATAAGGCTACAGGGTGGACACCTGGTATCCTTGGCCCTTTCTGTTCTTCCAAGAGCTTTGTTGTTAACAGTGCAGGAGAAGGCAACGCTTGAGACATCAGAATTCTTCCTTAGTCACATGCCTTTCTACAAGGGAAAACTTCAAAACCCAAACTGCACTAGATTGGGCCAAACCCTTCTTTGGAGTCCATCAACTTCTGGGATGCTAGCCACCTAATGACTTTTTATTATTGTTAAAGAAATGGGATTTTTTTTCACTTGCTTTGACATGACTGCTCCAGTCCACATTGGAGAGGAGGAGTAGAGATAACTGCCTTTACTCCTGTGTGGCCTTTGCACAGATGGTTATGCACATTGGCTTGTTCATGGGGAGGGGAGAATCTGTGATCCATACACTCCATGGGAAACAAGTAGTGAGGGTAATAGCAAATCTTTTTTTTAAAAAAAAAAAGTTTTCTGAGTTTTGTCCAGTGCCTAATGCCAAATCTGCTGTTGGATCTTGGCATCTCAGAGTCTGAAGGGTTAAAGGGCTGTGAGTCCAGTTCATGTATTCAGGCTAAATCAAGTGATTTCTGTTGTGGGCCATTTCAGGCTCTTGCAACACTACCGCTGCCGTCCCGTGGAATGCAGTTTTTTGTTTTGTTTTTTGCTCAGAGTTGCATTACTTGCCTAATCCTTGGCTGGTTCTGACTCATGGACCAAACAAGAAATCTGTGAATTGGGTGTGGCTGCTCTGCTAAGAAGGGCAGCAGAAACGGATGCTGCAGAGGCACAAGATCAGACAAACTGCTTCCCTGCTTTAGCTGTGATAGGACTACCACAATCCTTGGGGGACTGTAGTTAGATGAAGAGCCAGCTGGCTGCCGACTGGAATTGGTACGGAAGAACTGCTACAACTCTTTAGTTTGGGAGGAACAGAGGTAGGATAGCTGAATCTTCAGTCTGAAATCAGGGTTAATTCGAATACCTAGTGCTGCTGCTGCTGCTAAGCACTCGAGGCTGCAAAGGTACATGTTGGGTAATGGAACTGTTACACTAATTAGGCAAATGGGATTTTTTCTTTTTGTGCTGAGACTGTGAAACACCCTGTTTGCCTCATTTTCTCAGCTGTTTTCATTCCAAGATGCAGCAGAGGGATTCTGTAAATTGCCATGGTACAGACTTGAACGGCTTCGTTGGAAGCTGCCAGTTTAATGTTTTGAACTTGACAAGACTATTTGTCCAGCTATGGAGCCTAAATGGTGTGAACATCCTAAGATTTATTTATGTATTTATGAGCTATTTATTTTGCACCTGTGTCTTGTCAATCATTGCACACCATGTCTCCAAAAACCCAGCTGTCTTGATTACAATAAAACTCATTTTTATTTAAAAGCAAAAGAACAATGGTTACTTTGTAAGTGTCTCATTGGTGGTTAGGAGTTCCATTGGGGCTGCCGGCGAGGCAAATAAAAAGCTGTATCAATGTTTCCTTGGTCTAGACTACTATAACATATTCATGCTATGGAAAGCTGCTCCATATATTAGCATGTCCTCAGAGGAAACTTGTGCACCTACATAGACAGTAGACATACATCATGTGCTAGCTAGCAATACAACATTAGCTGCAGATAATAAAAAACAACTTTCCGCTCAAGCAGCAGCAAAAAGATTATTTTATGTACTTAGTTTGGGGAACAAAATTCACCTGGTGCTAGAGAAATCAAAGAAGGTGCATTGCTGGGCATTGCACAGTCAGAATCCCACTGCCAAAAAACCCCTCTTCCCAATAACTGTCTACTGCACTTGTTGGGGTCACCTGCAAAGGATCTCTGAACTTGATCTCAGAGTCTGGGAGGAAGCCATTGAGTGGGATTTAAAGATCAAAAACAGAATTGGGAATTTAATTAATTTAATTGGGGGAAATCCATCTAATAAGCATTAGTCACCAGGGCTAGCTGGCTGAATTAGTCCTACTTGGGCCAGCGAGGAGGCCAGGGGAGAATTAGCTGTGGGGTCTCAGAGCACATAATCTTCATAAAAGGGGAGGGAAGAGAAGGGAAATAAGTCAGGCTGAATTCAAATTAAAGGCCAGGTGAAATAGCTGTCTTAGAGGCCCGACGGAAGGAGGTTAAATCCTGAAGGGCCCTAGTCTCATGGGACAGAGCATTCCACCAGGTTGGAGCCATCACTGAAAAGGCCCTGGCCCTGGTGGAGGATAGTCTGACTTCCTTAGGGCCTGGGACCTCTAAACTATGGTTATTCATGGACCTTAAGGTCCTCTGCGGGGCATACTAGGAGAGGCGGTCCTGTAAATACGAGGGCCCTAAGCCACAAAGGGCTTTAAAGGTCAAAACCGGCACCTTGAACCTGACCCTATACTCCACCGGGAGCCAGTGCAACAGGTAAAGCACTGGGTGAATATGATCCCATGGCAGGGACCCCATGAGGAGCCTCACTGCAGCATTCTGCACCCACTGGCGTTTGTAGAACAGTTTCAAGGCGTAGAGTGAATTACAGTAGTCAAGTCTGGAGGTGACCGTCGCATGGATCACTGGCCAGATCGGGGTCGGAAATTGGAAGTGGAAATGGACTGGAAGTCAGTGCTGATGAGAGAGCACTGGTGTAACATGATCAAAACATCTAATCTTGCAGGCTTATTCGGGACCAATTGAAGTTTCTGGAACATTTTCAAAGGCATCCTGCGTACAATGCATGGCGGTTATCCAAATGGGTGGTTACCAAAGCACATGAGTAACAGAAGCAAAGGCTATTTTGGTCTAGGCAGAGCATGAACACTGGGGACTTCCCTGTACACAGGCAACATGGCTGGAGGTTGGTTCAAGCATGAAGTTATGTCCAGTACGGAAATCTCTTGCAGCTGTTTGAAAGTGGCTGAGATGTTCCTACTTGTGAGAACTGATTTAGACATTGCATAGACTAAGCTAATGAAATGCTGAGCTGAGATGTAGTGTTTGTGGGTTGTTCTTTTAAAAAATCTGTCTACAAACATAAAGTGTCCTTGTTGTTGCTTGTGATTTTTGCTGTTCTTTGATAGTCAACGAGTACAATTTGCAGAACCTAATCACAGTATAGTAGGTGCAGGATTTCTCTAGTGACCTGTCCAAAATGAACCCCCTTTAGGAATTATTGGAGGTACTTGGCGTATGTTTCCAACCTTTCGCTGACTGCTTTTGTTGTCCCCTTGTTACCTCTAGCCTCTTATTTTACTACTATTTTTGATGAGTGCGCAAAGGAATTTCCTCTGGGTTGAGGTCATGTGCAACAGTGTGCGTTAGACAAAGCCACCTGCTTTGTTTGGTGCCCTGACATCCCTTCTCTTGGTGCTGTTGCCATCAGAGGCTTACTGAAGCATATCCAGTGTCTGCAGAAATGGGGCAGCTGTTGTAAAAAATGGAAAGGAGTTATTTTAGGGCAGGAGTGCTCTGTGTAAGGTTGCGAGCTGGCTGTTTTTGAACTGGACTGAGGGGGTTCTCCTAGGTCATTCTCAGACTGGCAACAGCCAAAATGTGCATGTATTTAACTGAATTACCATGCACAACCGAACAATGGCAGACTCCATAAGATGAGCCCTGTTGGATTTATTTATTGATTTCTACCCCACGTTTCCTCCAAGAAGCTCAAAGCAGTATTTATGGTCCTCCCCTCCACATTTTACCCTCACAAAACCCCTGTGAGGTAAGTTAAGCTGAGAGGTGGTGACTGGCCCAAAGTCATCCAGTGAGCTTCATAACTGAGTGGGAGTCCTAGCCCAACACTTCTTCCTACATGTGGTGATTGACTTGTTAAATTTAATGCTTGGTCATATGTACATGTATTCACCATTAAGTGTGCATGGGATTGTAGCCTTTGTTTGCTGTGTGTTGATTTGTCAAATGTTTATCAGGGTGAAGAAAGTTGACATTCTTAATCAGCACTGAGACTTTTTCTGAATGTTGGCTGCAGCATAGTTTATGTGAAAAGCTTATTAAGATGGCTTAAGATGTTAGAGCCTACTGAGGTCATGGAGTTAGTCTATTCCATCTCCTCTCCACACCCTCATACCTACCAAAAGGAAAAAAAGTCTCATGGAGATTCTTCTTATTCATCTGAGAGACACTGTACTGGCAAGTGGGTTGATAGATGGAATTATTTTTCTGGCACAATCAGATAATTGCACAGATACAAACTGTTCAAAGCACACCCACATGAAAAAACGGTATCTTCTAGCAATGGGTTTAAATTACGGTAAGCCTGTAACTTCTTATAGCACCTTGCAGAGAATTCATGGCAAATACAGGCACCCAGATCCAGGATTGTTACAGTTGAAGCCAGTGTCCTAACTTTGAGTCATCTCCACACTATACAGTACATGGAAATACATTGGTATTTATGAATATTTCATGCCTTTTCTGTACTTGCTTTTCTCATGAAGTTGATGCTGAAATGTACTGAATCAGCAGTAGATGCATGTTTTCCATAAGCAACTGTATTTGGTCATAGGGAGAGACAGATAGAGGCTCTTTAAACTTGTGCATGAAGAAAGATACCTTTCTACTTGTGGAAAAGATTCCCAATGTTCTTCTGCTTGCACAAGTGGTTACACAACATCTTGCACAAGCAGAAGCCTGAGAACTGCTGTAGAATCTATGTAGTTTAATGCTCTGTAAACTCCTTTGAGTGTTTGCAAAACTGTGCTGGTAGCTATTTTCACTGCACTCATGGTTCTTTCATGTCTTTGGGAATTAGTTTGATGCTAGAATATATTACTCTCTCTATATTGTACAGTCTATGTGTAGGTAAATAAGCAGCCTAAAGTTAAGCTAAAAAGAAACTAATAGCTCCTGAGCCATCAGAACCCTTCTATTTCATATTACAGTCATACCTTGGTTGTTGAATGCCCTGGAACTCAGACATTTTGGCTCCTGAACACCACAAACCTGGAAGTGATTGTTCCAGTTTGCAAACGTTCTTTTGGAACCCGAATGTCCAGTGGGGCTTCCGCAGCTTCTGAATGGCTGCAGGAGCTTCCTGCAGCCAATCAGAAGCCACAATTTGGTTTTTGAACGTTTTGGAAGTCGAACGGACTTCCGGAACAGATTCCGTTCGACTTCCAAGATACAACTGTACTGTAATACATTTTTATCTGACAAATAATACTACGGATATTAAATTCTTCCACTATTTCATATCAACTTAAATTAAATATGGGTAATAACTACCCAAGTCACATTATGCATTTATTTTATTGCTAGCTTGTCACAGCAGGTAAGGGAGAGGGAACTTTAGGATCAGCAAAGCAAACTCATTCAAAATAGAGTCCATGAACTGTGGCCACAACAAAGAGTGATGAGTTAGTGAAAGTGGCAGATGCAAAACTGTCATTCTCCACATCCCAGAGGGATTGACTAGCAATGCGCAGACCTTGGTTGGCCTGTTGGCCCAGAAAGACGTTACACACCAGCTTGTAGCGAGGTGGGATCAGCTCTTTGATTCTGTTCCGGATGAGGTCTGACAGGTTCTTGGCCACCTGCCCGCTGTTTGCAGGGTTATACTTGGCATCCCCTAGGTAGGTGGCTAGGACAGATTCAAGAACATGCTGCACTTGGGAGGCATTAAATTTGCAGCCTTCATCTGGCTTCGTCTTGTAGCTATTTTCATAGTGCGTCTCCCGCATGGGCTCAAAGAGTGGTAACCCAGAGAAACTCACTCGGCCGCAATGCATCCAGGGTCCAATGGAGAGCCGCCTTCCCCCAGCAGCCAGCGAGTTCCTCCTGCTGGGAAAGGGGGCATTGAGGATGCTCATGATGGAGCTTCTCCGGGATGGTGGAAAGGGGGCTTTCCCTTCTTCAATACTCTGCAAGCGAAGTAGTGGCTTGGGTGCCATATCTGTTGACTGGGAGTGCAGGGGGGGAGAGAGTGGCCCTGCCTTCGGATGGCCAGAGTCCGTGCCCTCTGAGGACACCATCTGGTTTAGAGTTTCCTGGGACAGTACCTGAGGCCGCTCTGCCATGCCTAAGTGGTAATCAACTCCTGGGACACAAGGGAAAGAAAAACTAAATTACATTGATACATTACTGCTCACTAGGGCCACTGTACTCCCAGCAACCAATTTCTTTGTTCATCTGGACAAAAGTTTATTTACAGGTAAAAGGTAAAGGGACCCCTGACCATTAGGTCCAGTCGTGACCGACTCTGGGGTTGCGGCGCTCATCTCGCTTTATTGGCCGAGGGAGCCGGCGTACAGCTTCCAGGTCATGTGGCCAGCATGACTAAGCCGCTTCAGGCGAACCAGAGCAGTGCATGGAAACGCCGTTTACCTTCCCGCCAGAGCGGTACCTCTTTATCTACTTGCACTTTGGCGTGCTTTCGAACTGCTAAGTTGGCAGGAGCTGGGACAGAGCAACGGGAGCTCACCCTGTCCCGGGGATTCGAGCCGCCGACCTTCTGATCGGCATGCCATAGGCTCTGTGGTTTAACCCACAGTGCCACCCGCGTCCCTGCCTTATTTACAGGAGCATTCCTCAAAAAGAAAATGTTGGCTCCCTCCTTCAAACACCAGGCAAAACCAGCAACGTACAAATGTCTATGTGGCCAGAGTATCTGAGAATGTCATTGCATGACTTTATTCTGTTATTTTTGGATGCTTTTGGTTGCTATTTTAGGTTTGTTTTTAAGTTTGCATGTTTTTATTGAGATTTAGGCTTGATTTGTTTGGTTTACTACCCTGGGAGGGGGGCACATTATTGGGCAAAAGGGCAGTGGATAAATATGTTAAGAAAGGACAGATGGATGAAAGAAAGGGATGGCGCTTGGGATAGAGGACGTGACTCCTTCCCTGGTCTACCTCATCCAGGCTCAGAGGCTGGATCCGTCCATCAAGGAAAAAGGTGTTGGGGAGGGGTGAGAGTGGTTCTAGGAAGCGGGGGTTGAAAGCAGGTCCTGCCCATTGCTACTCTGGTTGAAACTTGCATCCCCAAACTGGCTGTTTTCTAGAATACTGGTGCAAGCCGAGTTCTAAGGAATTAGTCAATCATTGCAGGAAATAGACCTTTAGATCAAAAGGCTAAGAAGTAGTTTTGTTACTTTTAAAATTTACACATGAAAACTGAGATTTTCCAATAAGTTTGTAACTCCAGATTCTATGAGGCAAGAGTCTTAAGAAAAAAAACATCAAAGGAAGTGGAATAAATGGGTCATTGCCAGGAACATTAAAACCAAGAAGGAAGAGTGGAAAGAACAGCTGCAAAATTATTTCAGAGTCTTCTTCACTTCTTTTCTGTTGGGATTGGAAGCAATACATACTACAAACTGCCTGAAAGGGAGTGAGGGTGCATACTAGAGATCACATCTATGCAGGGATAAATTAAGACTTGATTTCCTTTCCTTTCTTTGCTATTTTTAAAAACCCAGTTTTAATTTTTATTATTATTTAATCCTATGATTTATTTGGCATAGAATATTTATAATAACATTTTTGTAGGACTGTAGGTGCCTTAAGCTCTTGGAGATAGAGCAGGTTAGGAAATTAAGTAAAACATGGCTAATTTGATTAGAAACAGCATCCTATCTTTTAAGGAAACGTTTACATGATAACAGCACAGATCTATTACTTTTTCAACTGACTTCCATATCCTTTATCCGAACAACCACAGAAAAACAAGAAAGGAATGATTTCCCATAGCCAATGATATTTTTCTAGAAAAAGAGGTGCCGGAATGCACATGAACACCTCCCTTGTTCTCTTATAATGGCAATGGCACCCACCTGACAGGTGCTGGAACTGAATTTGGGCAAGTTCTGGTTGAAAAAAAGCCCTGGGTCTTTCAACTGAAAGTAATGGAAGTATTCTCACAACCATCTGGTAACCTTTTGCATTTTAGGTCAGATTAACTAAACAGAACAGTATAAATCTCCCTCCTTCATTTTCAAATACTCATAAGGTGGAAAATAGGCACATGCTTAACCCCACCTGATACTGATTAAGCAAAAAGGATGACAAAAATGTGATTACAGGTAATTAATTCCCATTAAGTGATCTTGTGTGCACAGCACACACGAGTTCCAGAGCATGCGAGAAAATCATTGAAAACATCAGCGAAATATTTTGCTCAGTCAGCAAAAGGTGTGATTTATAGAGATGGACCACAGTGATGTTTGAGTCTGGCCTATCTTACCTGGAAGCAACGAAGCCTCACACAGAGGCCAGTGGGCTTGATAGAAGTTGAGTCCTGCTACATCCGTGGTCAAGAGACAGGCTGTAGAAGCTGTTTAATACCCTTCATCTTGCTAAAGCTTGCTCAGGCTTGTTGCAAGGACCTGCCAATGCCCTCGCCCCTACCTCCCTGCCTTATTCAGCTCCCTCCCCTCCCCTGGTAAATCATTGGCTGTTTAATGTGACAGTTCAATGGGGAGAGCCATCAAAGGCATTGCAGGAGGACTGGGCAGGCTGCCACCCGAAATACATGGTCTCCGTGGAGACTGTCTCACTCACATTATTTTTGCACAGACTAGAGTGTGTGTGTGTGGCAGTTAATGCCTCTATGCTTCAGGGGGGGGGGCAGAGGAAATATTTGGTTATGGCCTAATGTCCCTTGTAGCCACTAAAGTGCTAGGCCAAGCTAATGGGGTTCTGTTCTCAGTCAAGGGGTCTCCATGAGGTCATACATTCTGACCCCATCTTTCCCTTCCTATTTGTGTCTATGGTTCATAGCTGAATATAGCTTGTTGTCCAAACTGGATGTGATATTAACTGCATGAACTTCAGCAGCCTTGGAACCTTGGGAGAGAGAGAGAGGAGATCTCTCCAGACTGGTGTTGGATTGAAGGTATATTCTTCAACATGTCCTTGACACAATGATAATGCATTAGTGGCAGGTTTATTCTGCTTTGCTGGTTTGTTCTGTGATGCTTCACCAATGCTACCCCATTATTGCTGTCTGGAGGAGCTGCACACGACTTAAGCAGGACAAAAGTAAATCAGCAGGAAGTTACAGGATATATAGTGAATGGAAACAAAGCCATACAACCTCAAAACCTCAAACAGCATTGAAAGTGGGATTGTGTATGACTGCCCAGGTAGCATCATGAGCACCGAATAATCATGAATGTGAAATTATGGAGGAGCCCAGGAACTCCTTCTCTTCCTGCCACACTCCTGAAAAAACTGTGCCCTCTTTGAAGCTGCTGTATGCATTTTAAGTGAACCTACCTTTGGCAATCAGAGAGGATTCCTATGAACAGCAAAGATCAGCTTCAGAGCAGAGGATCTTTGTAGGCTGGGTGTGGTGGGGAAGTCAGTACTATGGCAGAGACAGTTTAACTCTCTCTTTCCTTCCCACCACACAGTTATGAGGCTCCTCAGACTTCCCACGGACTTGCGAATTGCATGAGCTTCATCCACACAATTAAAGTTTGACCCTCATTCTCACTGTAGTCCCAAGTCCTGCTATGTAGACAAAACACCGCCTCACAATGGGCTTATTTTGGAATTGCCAGTTGCAACAACTGGATTTCATTTATTTGCTCTCCTTTTCCTTAGTGTGCCTAATGGAAAGGAAAGAAGAAACTTAATAATAATATGTTTATTTTACAAGGTTTGTTACTGGTTCCAGAACAGCATGGCTCTTAAAGAAACCTACTGAGTACCTTGTATTCCACAAATAGTTTGTACTATTTGGTTAGTCAATACAGTGGTACGTCAGGTTAATAACTTAATTTGTTCTGGAGGTCCGTTCTTAACCTGAAACTGTTCTTAACCTGAGGTACCACTTTAGCTAATGGGGCCTCCCACTGCCACTGCGCCGCCGCTGCGCGATTTCTCTTCTCATCCCAAAGCAAAGTTCTTAAACCAAGGTACTATTTCTGGGTTAGCAGAGTCTGTAACCTGAAGCGTCTGTAACCTGAATAATAATAATAACAATAATAATAATAATAATAATAATAATTTATTATTTGTACCCCGCCCATCTGGCTGGGTTTCCCCAGCCACTCTGGGCGGCTTCCATAGAAACCAAAAATACAGTAAGCGTCTGTAACCTGCGGTACCACTGTATTATTTATTAGATAACATTAATTATAGCATAATTGCACACACACACACACACACACACACACACACCCCAACACGGATGCCCATGTGTCCTACCATAAAGGGGACATTCCTCCATTTGAAGTGCTGGCAGAGTACAGTCCTCTATTTCAAGGGCTACCTGAGCCAAATTTGGTTTAAAGATAAGGAACCATAACAAGGGATAACAGTGGAAAGTAGGCACATAGGCCACACAGTTGGTGAGATGTATTTTCTTTTAAATATAAAGAAAATTACTGTATTTTTTTTTTAAAAATGCATCCATGCATATAAATTAGCACTGCAAATATTGTGCAAATCTGTGTCCCCTTTTCTTATGATGCATAGATTGCCACTCTGACACATACACACATTCCAAAATAAAATAGAAAAGTACATTGGCTGACTAAAGCTACTCAAAGCCGGATTAAATTTGTTGAGATGCCATCAACAGAGCCTTATGATCTAGCTACCAGCTGCACATGAATGCATGTAATGAAACCGTGACAGGCCCTATTGCTTAACTGCAGAGCAGCACCAGGAAGGGGTGATTTGGAGCAAATAAATAGCAGGGGGAAGGGGTGCTCAGTCTTGTCTGCTCCTTCACTGGTGAAACTCTATCTGAAGTGCATTTCCCCAGAAGGAAGAAGCCCATCATGGTTTTATTATTTACACATATACATGAAGAATGTGCCATTAAGTATACAGTTGGCTATGATCAAATGTCGAACCTATTCGTATGTTATCAGGTTGCCGTGGTTGCAGCTCCCCTGTGGCTCCATCAGTTCCAGTGATAGCTTTGGTTACCCTTCATCCAAGCACTTGCCATCCACTTCCTGCAAACAGTCAGGTCTGATCTATTGTCCAGCTAAAGGTGTTCACTGATGCCAGGTCAAATCTGACATTTAAGTAGAAGTCAAAAGGCATTTTCCACGTATCTCTTTTTAGAGGAAATATAGCAATGCGGGGGTCCAGCTACGGTCAGGTGATTTCTGACTGACTGCTTTCTTTACCTGCATAATAAAACAATTTTGACATGAATAGCACTTAATTGCCAGGCAGAGAGTTATACAATTGGAAGTGTATTGCACACTTTGTTCTGGGGATAGGAGAGAGCAGTTTTTAACTTAGTCTGCGTACACATTACTGCTCACTCTGGTTCCAGTGCACTCTCACCACTGGTGTTCAAAGCCGGGGATACATGACATTTGCCACAATTCCTATATGTCATGTAGTTTCTTGAGAAATACTGCTGTTTGGTGTTACAGTGGTACCTTGGGTTACATATGCTTCAGGTTACAGACTAACCCGCTAACCCAGAAATAGTGCTTCAGGTTAAAAACTTTGCTTCAGGATGAGAACAGAAATTGTGCTCCGGCGGCGTGGCTGCAGTGCGAGGCCCCATTAGCTACAGTGGTTAAGAACAGTTTCAGGTTAAGTACAGACCTCCGGAACGAATTAAGTACTTAACCCGAGGTACCACTGTATTTCCCTCAAACCAGCTTCCATCTGATTTGAAAATGTAAGTCTTGTCCCCTTTGCAGTAAAGCTGAGGGGTGTACATTTGAGACAGCTGTTGCACATGTCAGATGACAGCTTCATAAATTCTAGGGTGGCGGAGTTGCAGGCGTGGGAAAACCAAACAGGTCCCTGATGTATCTCTGGCGCACACAGCAACATGCAAATGCAACTTGTACATCTCACTTAAGACATTAACTAGGCTTTAGTACCTTGGGCAGTAAACCTTAAGGATTTGATTAAAGAGCCTTCAGCCCCAGAAGGCCTTGTGGAGACCGACAGTCTCCAAAATATATTATTTCATCAGCATGAAACCTATGTAGGGCAGCTCCTCAGCTAAGGATAGGTTTAGGTTACTTACAAGTGGGGTTGCCCAGTGACTGTTTCAGAAATTGAGCCAGGCTCCTGCACTTTTAATATGACTTTCCTGATAAGGCTCCCATCCACAAACAGACCAACCTAGCTTCATTGATGGAACTACATAACCCCTGCCCATTGAAAAGTGCCTTAACAGATACAATGGACTGGCACTTCAGACCATTAGCCAGGCCAGTTAGTTTAAGGCAGTATTTGGCTTTGAATGAAAGCCTGAGGGAGTAGGTGTTAGCAGTATCTCATTCGCATCACAGGCGCAAAGTCCAAATGGGAGCTACCTCCTAAAAGTGACAAGGGCTGTTAACTAGGGCCACTTCTTATGTTTTATTTAACTTCTCACACTAGCCTGGTGATGCTGAAACAAGTCGCCTGTGTATGTAGAAGTGTGTGTCAGATAATATGACCCTTTCCCCATGTCACTGCTAGTTTCACCTCTCCTTGGGGCCAGATAGCACTGTGGCATGGATATGGGGAGTTATGATGTCATCTGCCCCTCCTCCCAAGTGGTATCCCTGCTTCAGACATTACTTCAGCTGTGGGACTGAATAATTAAGGACGTCCATTTTATTGCACACTCATTATGATGCTTTCAGGGTGATTCTGCTTTCATATGATTCTGCTTTCAATGCTATTCACGGCTGCAAAAGTTTTGGGGTGGTCATACTGCTTCATTTCCAATCAGTGCACATTCTGTAACTTCCTGCAGATGTTCTGGGTTTGTTGTCCCATTTTTACTGTGCTATAGGCCCTCTGGATAGCAATAATGTAGTAGCACTGGGAAAGTATTGCAGAACTAATAAAGTATCGCAGAGCTAATAAAGAGGAATAATAAAGAGTGGCTGGGGAAACCCAGCCAGATGGGTGGGGTATAAATAAAATAGTAACAACAACAACAACAACAACCTCTGACACTAATTCACATGTTGTGAAATATGCCCACAATAAAACATTGGCCTGGAGGGAACCACAGAAACAGTAACCACACCAATTAGGTACCGTAATTTAAGAATTGGCCCTTTGAGAGCAGGCAGGATGTTCAGTGTCAAAGGCCATTGAAAAATTTGAGTGCCTGGCCAGGTATATGTTCTTAAGGATGTTGCTATGATCCTAAACATTTCCTCTCATCTTCCCCCACCCAATCTACACCTCTGCATTGGCCTGAGCTACTATTGACAGAAAGATAGTGCTGGAGTCTGTTATACGTGGATGTCATATGACCTCAACACATCACAATCTCTCTTTTTGTCACATGTGCACACACACATGCATTCTGCGACAATGAAGCAATCATTTCTATATGCCTTCAGGAAATTATGCAAAAGACCTTAGCAACTCTGTGGCAAAGCAGAAACACTGAGGATACCAGATGCAGAGATGTGTCATTTTCATTTCGCTGACAGAGGAGTTGGCAGTCCTGTGACCTCCCCATGCCAAGGATGAGCTCCTGCCAAGTTTGAGCCGGTTCTGACTCCCCCCCCCCAAAAACCCCCATGCAGGCAGTTTCCCCAACACACAAAGGTCCAGTTTGCTTGCTTAAGACAGCCCCTGGAATGAGTCTATCCCCTTTCCTTTTTTATTTAACCCCCGCCCTCTCATTTTTCCACATTCTCCAGCCTGTTTTGGCGTGTGGCTCCCTCTTTTTACAAAAGCCTTTCCCTTCAGGATTTCTGCGGTCCCTCCCAGAGCAGCTGGATTTTAGGGCCTGGGCAGCTGCTGTTGCCTGGCAATGAGCTATGTTGCTCCCCCCTTTTCTGGCCTTTCTCTGCATTCCTGCCTTGCAGCTGAGCGCCCAGCCAGCCGTGACTTCTCTCAGCTATATCTTTATCACAGACAGCCAGGCCAAGGAAGCCCCCGCTGAGCCCCCGAGCGTGCCTGCTGCCCTGCTCTCCTAGGCCTGGTCCTGATCCTGATCCGGAGCCCATTCCCTAACTATGGCCTCTCCTTGCTCAGCTGTCCTGCTAGGGGATTCAGCTGCCTTTGCTGCTGCCCTCAGGACTCTCATCAACAACCCACAGTTCAGGTGAGCCAGCTGGGAGACCCAGCTAAGAGAGCCTGGGGATCAAGGTGGAGCTGGGAGTGAAGGCCGCAACAGGGAGGTAAACTGGAGAGCAGGTTTTAAGTTAGCTCTGCCAGGCTGTTGAGCTGGGAAGATTCATAATACTGGGTCACTGTGAAGAGAAGAAACAGACCCCACCCTGCTCCACTATCTGCTAAACTCTCTTGCAGATTTGGCTCGTGACTGTCAAGGAAGCGTTACATGTTTGTAAGCAGTACAGAAATACTGTGGTGAATGATACCGCATATAATGGTGTTATCTTGGATCCTCTGCTTTTAGGGATCATGAAAAGTGGGAGGGGATATCTGAAAAAGGTTTTAAAATTATCAAAGAAAGGAAAATTATCCTCTCACCCAGGTGCAAATAATCTGATGAGATATTTTTTGCATGCATTATTGTGGGAGAGGTTGGAACAGTTTGTTTTTAAATCACAGTTGTAAATTTTTTAGTGATAAGTCTATTGCTTTATCTTTTTGTAAACTGCTCTGATGTTTTTTTCTACAATCAAGTGGTATATTTTGTGTGTGAAATAAATAAGCAGATTAGAATACAAAATATGTTATTAAGGCATGGGTCAGCTGCTCCTATGAGCTTTTCTGTTGTTGTTTTTTCATGTGGAGATGATAGTAAAGGTGAAACCCTATATACCAGAAGCACAGCATGAGTGATTGGCTGTGCATTATTGTGTCAGCTGGGAATGCTTTGGCTACCCAAAATATCATACAATACAGCCTTTACTTCACCAGTTTGATGCCCTCTAGATGTTTTGACCGTCAACTCCTATCACCCCCAGCCTGCTTGCAGTTCAGAACAACTGGAAGGTGCCAGGTTGACAAAACTGGTTCAATTGATGGGCACAGCAGAGCAATCCTACAAGGGGTTGGGGATGTATGGAGTGGCAGATTCCTACCTTTCATCCATTGCCCTGCCCAAGGTAAGGGCCCTGTCCATGCTAGGATCCCCATCATGGCACCATAGCACTCCACATTGGGTCTTTACACCTTGTTATCTGCCTCTTTCTGAGTCACAGCTTTGCCTTCTGTATGACACCAGAATCTATCTTTCATAAACAAGGGGGAGAAACACTGGTGTAGCCTTGAGCACAATTTACAGGCCAGGCCAGTGGCCTGTCCACACAAACATTTTGCTTTCAACAAATGTGGGATTATTTTGGCAACATGCTGCATGTCCTGCTGACCACTCTGATTAACAATAGTATTGCTAGGTACTTAAAGGGTCACGAAACAGATCAGCAACAACCTTGCATGAATATTATAGGGTACCTTTAGACAAATGAAGCTGGTAGGTGGCTCAGGTCTAACCATCGCTGCACTTAGATGCACATCCTGCATATTAAAAAGGCGGACCCTGCACAAAAGGACAGGAGATATGGGGGCCCGTACAAAAGACTCAGGGCTTCAGCCCCCTGTACCAAGAATGCCTTTGCTGTTTAACATCCACTGGATTTTCTGTGTTAATACTGATACTTGTTAGGTAATAGTTATTGAAGAGATGCATTATAAGCATCCTCTCCAAAGATGCTATCCTCTTGAGTGAAGTACTACTTACCCGGAACTTGGTACTTAAAAAGGTTCCATGTAATAGCTCTTAACTGCACGGAGAGCCTGTTATCTCTTGATTCCTGTTATGCAGTGCCTGAGCACACTCCCATTTCCCGACAGTGATGACTGGCCCTTCACAACCCGCTCCCGATCTATGTTTAGAGGTGCTACATCAGTGATGGCCAAACTTGGCCCTCCAGCTCTTTTTGAGACTACAACTCCCATCATCCCTAGCTAACAGGACCAGTGGTCAGGGATGATGGGAATTGTAGTCCCAAAACAACCGGAGAACCAAGTTTGGCCATCACTGTGCAACATGGACAACAACATTTTGAAACAATTAGCTGCTTTCACCTGTTTTATTGATAAAATTGAGCTTCTGTGTATATGTCATGTTACCTCATCTGTGCCTCAGATGATGGACCCAGGACTGAAGCTAGGCTTCTCTCAAAGGATTCTCAGCCCTACTTCCTTGATTGCTTACTTGATATTGCATACAACATGAGATGGGCATCAAACCTGTGAAAAATTGGAGCTTCAGTTTGTGCTAATGTCCTAATCTGTGAATGCTCTTCAGTCAGTGCTAATGCCCTAATCTGTTAATGCTGGTTGAGTAAAAGTTTGAGGATCAATGCATTAATTAGTTTCTTAGTATTACTTCATACGTTTAATTCAGCTTAGAACTGATAATCATTTTTTGTCCTCCAAGCCATCGGAAATGGCTGATACTTAAGCAGAATTTGAGGTGGAGATTTCCCTCCTTATTCAATGTGGGTTGCCTTGCTTTTTGGAAATATCAAGATGTGTTTTTCTAAATGCTTTCCCTATCCGAATTGTGCTACTGGTACACTGGTCACATTGCATGATTTTCATCTGTAATAAACAGGATATTTTCCTATTACAATATCTAATTTAGAGGATTGCATCGGGGATTGCATGGGACAAGTGAAGATTCTTTTCCCATGAAGAATTTGGTCAGGATATAAGCGATTTTTCTAGGGGCTTACCATACAGAATTGCATTATGTGGTTACTGAATATAGAGGAGCCTGCCTCTACATTCTAGATGAAATTTCAGTTTTTATCAGTTTCTCATTTTTTCATACTTAATTTCAATCCATCATATTTCTGCATCACTTTGATATTTTTTTAAAAAGTCCCCCAAATTTGCAAGGAGATTTTAAGCAGATTGTATTTGTACATTGCAGTAGTGTTGATGAGGAGCTATCCCAACTGCATGTGAGGAGACCATTTTATTCCTCCACTGAGGGTCTTTCTAGAGAGATGGTTTGTTTGGTTTTGCACAGTGTTGATTCCTATTTGTTCCTTGGGGATGCAGAGCCATTGCTGAATGAATACTGCATTTTCCTAGCTGTCAAACTATATTTTGTTGTCATTGAAAAGAATGATATTTTCTCCTCACCTGTTAACATGTCCACTGTGAATGAGAGTGCTGAATGGAATGTGCTCATGGGCGTAGCCAAGGGGGGAGGCAGGGAGGGGCAGCTGCCTCCCATAATCAATAAAAATCAATAGAAATACATAGCAAACTGGGGTTCTGCCCCCTAACAAAAGGCCTGCCCCCCATGCTACGCCCATGAATGTGCTTGTGTGAATATTCCAGCCTCCTATGGATAGCACCTATGACTTAATTAGTTGCACATAGCATCATGGTGTATCATTATTATTACAATAACAATATCATCACCAATCATTATAACAAAAATTATACTAGTGCAATATCTTCTTTAGAGGCGTAATGCTTCCCACTAATAAAAAGACATTTAACAGAAGGCTGCCTCCTTTGGTCTACAGTAGTGGATGCTATTTTGTGGTACTTTCACTTTATATTGATTTAGTTTGCACTCCATCTTCAACAATGGAACATGTGTGTCCCCTGCTTTTACTTTCAGGTGTTGGTGTCCCCCTGCCCTCCTGCAGCAAGGCATGATATTATTCAACTGGTGCTAGCTCGGGGCTGGGAAAAGCCCAGGGAAAGTGCAGCTTATTTAGCAACTGATACTTTCTATAATATGTTACTGCGGCTGTTTGCGTTGGTGTAGTTAGCAACTGAGATGATTGTTTTGTTTCAGAGGAATTGACATTTTACGAACAGGTGTGAGTCAAAAATGCAGATTAGTTTTCTGGTACATAGAGGTCAGCGAGAAAGCCGCTAAGGTAATGGAAAATGAAGTGAAGTGAAGTCAATTACAGAACAGGCCCTGCTGTGGCTACCTGGGTTTACATACCCGTGTACTGTAATGTGGCAGGGAAATCTTCCTACATCCGTGCTTCGACTCAAAGCAACTGTAGCAGGCCCTTTCTATAACTCTGGTGCCCTTACATATACAATTGGGCAATTCAACATACTGCTTGGAACACAGAAGTAAGCATCAGGTGGCTGCTTTACTTAAGCCCATGTAGATTGCCAAATTATTCCACTTCTACTTCATGCTGATCTGGTCATGTGCAGCCACTTGTGTTAAACTTATTCATCTTTTTTGCCATGCTGTTGCTTCCTGATCCCCTTCAGGCTCCGTGCCCACCCACCCTTCAGAGTACCATCCAGGTCACACTGGGGTGGAGAAAAGCAAGTCAGTCTGTACATTACATGAGCTACATAGATGTGCCTGCATTCCTTAATTGTTTACCCAAATTTCCAGAATGTGCCCCCACCACCTGCAGCTCAAACCCAGCACTGAAGGGGTGGAGTTGTAAGGGGATTTTACCCCCTGGTTTGGTTCTGGATCAGATTAGTCACCCACCCCTGTAATTTGTAGTATTACAGGATATAATAATGGCCACAAACATGGAAGGCTTTAACAGGGGGTTAAACAAATCCATAGAGGATAAGGCTATCTGTGGCTTCTGGCCATGATTCTGGAGGTGGCATGCCTCTGAATATCAGCACAAATGGGGAGGGTGCTATTACTCTCAGGGCCTGCTTGTGAACTCCCCAGGGGCATCTGTTTAGCCACTGAGAGAGCATGATGATGGATTTGATGGGCCTTCAGCCTGATCCAGCAGGGCTCTTCTGTTGTAACATGTAGTTCGACCCCAGGAAACAATACATGGAACCCAGATAGTGTATTTACTGAGTTTGCTGAAACTGAGGAGGAACAGCAGGAAATCAAGTGCGCTATTAAAAGGCCCCATTCAAGTGCTTTATGCTTTATTTCTAAAATGAGAACTTTTGAGGTTAATGCCACAGCTCTTACTCCATTCTTTCTGTATGGTGACTGGCTTTCTTCATGCAGTGCTGAAGAGAAGGCTCTCTGCTTGATGATATTACTGCTTCATTTATTCTAGGACTAAATCTGGCACTCGGGTTGCCACCTGTCCCTAGATAGATGTGATTGTCCTTTCTTTGGGGGGGGGGGAGAAATGTGTTCCCTGTCCTGTTCGGACTTCAAACAGGACACCTTTTTCATGTATTCAAGCACATCCTGGTCCTCCTCAATGTGGGCAGAGGTGGGTCCGATGGGAGCAGGTGAGCGAGAGCCTGAGTGGGAGTTTGTGCAGGCAGAAGGTGGGTCCATGAGGAGGAAAGCTGAGAGCAAGAGTTATTGCCGGACACAGGCAGAAGGTTGGGCGGCACTGGGTGGAGCAGTTCAAGAGAGAGTTTTTGTGTGGGCAGAGGGTAGGTGTTTGCAGCGCACGGGTCTTATAGCCCAGCCAGGAGGGCTTATGATGAAAAAGTGGTAGGCATGGAAGGGCTTCAGCACCAGCTGCTCTACAGCTGATCAAAGAAAGGGGGATGCTGCTGAACATGTAGTTTGTTGGCCTACTGCAAATTTTCTTTGACCACAGGCCAGCTGAACTCTGCAAGATGGTTCTCAATGGGGAGTGTAGCTGGAGAAAGGGGAGAGCAGGGCAGGGCATTGAGAAGTGTGCATGGTAAACTCATTGCCTGTTTTCCCACAGTGACGTGACATTTCTGGTAGGCAGAGAGCAGAAGGAAATCTTTGCCCATCGCTGCCTCCTCACTTCCCGCTGCCAGGCACTCCATGCAATGTTAAGCCAGCCCCAGGAGATGCAAGCCCCACTGATCCTGAGCCACGTGCAGCCAGAGGTGTTCCTCGCAGTCATTGAGTATCTGTACACCAATAATGTCACCCTCAACAACAACATTGTAAGTATGACTTGTATTAGTACAGGCTTGGCTTGCAGTGAAGTGAGTAAATGGAGAATGGCTTAAAATTAGTAAATGGTATTATTAATGTGCTTATGAGGAAACACAAACCTTTTAAGTCACCCTTGCAGATCAATTAAAAAATGTTACCAACACGAGTCTTGACAGATAATAATAGGTCCTCCCTGCAACCTTTTCCATTGTGTGTCTGATTTTTACAGCTGGTCCTGTTTGCAGATTCAGTGTACACAATTTTAAATCATGGGTACTGTACATATATATTTCTCTATAAAAAGTAACCCACACAGTCTATTGTTGTTAAAAAGCAAAGGTGGATGATGTTTTCATCCATAAGATGATGATGATTGAAGTAAGTCACTTCTGCTTATTATGCGCTATATTTATAACGGCAATCTGGTAAAACAGATATGTTAGTGATTATGCTGATAATGGAGAGAGAGAGAGAGGCCCTGCTCATAGCAATCTATTCACCTGAAAATAATCAATATGCACCCCACATACGTACTTAATCTCAAGGCTACTCTAAACCACAGAAAGGGCAGCAACCACCCTGGTATAATGCAGCTGTTGCTTGGTTGAATGTGCTAAGACTCAGTTCTAGTAAAACAGTAGTGATATTTGAAAGCTGAGTAGCATCAGTGTCTTAGTATTGGATTTGCTCCATCCTCTGCCGCATTGCCCTGTGTCTAGCATCTCTGTCTTGTATCACAGAGCCAGTTATTTGAGCTCTGAAAATCCTGTCTCTTTTCACTGCAGAAGATCTAGAAATTGGGAGAGGATGTGGGCTGGGTGTCTGTGCAAGAATGCTGACTTAATCAACCACCATTAGCAGCTTCCACATACGGTAATTGGGTTGTTACTTAGGTTTTTCTTAATTTAAAAGCTGTTGAATCAGATCTGTGCATCTCCTAGTGATTTCAGACTGCAGCCAAGTAAGGCAGTGAAATTACTTGTGAGTCAGTGCATTAGTTTCAAGATTATGTTTAGCACCTAAAATGGAGCAGCAAGCTCATAAAATGGAGGCTTTTTTACTGGCAGAGATGAGGGAAAGTCTCTGATGAGCACCACAAAATCCAATTCTCTCCATCAATGTAATATGTGTAGCACATCCTCTTTTTAGCTAACCCTTCTCTATTTTACGTTTTATTTTTAACAAATGTTTAGGATAGGGGCCCTCTTGTTCACTTGTGCAGTGATTGTAGAATACAGATAATTTGGTCTGTGCCTTTTCCCCATTGTGCATTAGCAAGCAGGGAAGACCACATTTTTCTCTTACTGATTCAGGGACCTTTTCTTTTTTGGAAAGTTCCATCTGGATGAAGCTGTTTTTTTGGATGAGGGTGGATGCAGCTGTGGCCCTCCACCATCCCTGACCATAGGATATGTGGACTGGGTCTGATTGGAATTGGGAGTCCAACAACATCTGCAGGGTCACAGGTCCCCTGCCCTGATCTAGATTCACAGAATTCTGTTCTGGGCTTGGTTTTGGGAAAGAAATTGCTGTCATCATGCTGGTCGAAAGTTTCAGTTTTGATCTGTAGATATATTATTCTAACCTTGTTTTATATCAACCACTGTGGAAATATTCCTTCAGTAAGGGCGGTATATAAATATTGTAAACCAATCAATATATTGTCATAGGAAGAAAGGGGCAACCTTAAGATTTGGAAAAACTTCCTTCTCTGTTAATCAGCAGATAGCTGTTGTTCAGGTTTTACATATGCCTGCAGTATTGGCAGCATCTCACTCCTGTGACTCAGCTTCTCTGTCAGGAGCTGCCTCCAGGGAAGGTTGAATTCCAGCCCTGTCATCATAAAAGGACATAGAAGATGGTGTATTTGACATCTCGCTGCCTCCCTCTGTCATTCCCTACTGTGAATGATTAGAGACTGAGTTTGTACCACCCAAACAAATTCAAAATCAAATTCAAATAGCTTTGGTTATTTTATGTAAGAATAAAGGTAAAGGGACCCCTGACTATTAGGTCCAGTCACAGATGACTCTGGGGTTGTGGCGCTCATCTCGCTTTACTGGCTGAGGGAGCCGGCGTACAGCTTCCGGGTCATGTGGCTAGCATGACTAAGCCGCTTCTGGCAAAACCAGAGCAGTGCACAGAAACGCCATTTACCTTCCCACTGGAGCGATACCTATTTATCTAATTGCACTTTGACATGCTTTCGAACTGCTAGGTGGGCAGGAGCTGGGACCGAGCAATGGGAGCTCACCCTGTCGTGGGGATTCGAACCGCCGACCTTCTGATTGGCAAGCCCTAGGCTCAGTTGGAGATGGGGAGAGAAATAAAGAGACATAAAAATGTTGCCCTCCCCCAGTTTTTCAATTACACCAATCTGTCCCACCCCACCCCCCTCCAAAAAACGAAAATATTGCAATCAGTGCTATTTTTCTGGAAAAAGAGGTGCTGGAACTGAGTTCCGGTGAGTTCTGGCTGAAAAAGCCCTGGTTGCTATATTGGTCGATAAAAATATCCAAAATCCATAGCTCTTCAATGCCATGCTTTTGTGACATTTTTGTGGTCCTGAGAGATGTATTGCTCAACTATGGATTTTTGAATATTTGCCATAGAAACCATAATCAGGTATCGGGTACATTTTTTTCATTACATCAACAACAACTTCTACATAAGGTAGAGTCTGGATTTATTAAATAGGTAATAGTTTGAGAGTATATGAACTGCAGTTTGTTGACATTCATCAGGGAAGTTTGGACTGTCCTCTTGCTGGCTGCACCAAACTCATCTGATCCTTATAATGTTTTCTCTTATTCTCTCTCACACAGCTCAGGACGTTGCTTTCATTCTTTGGAATTTTTAGCAGCCACACCCAGCAGCATGAGAAGGGCTGGATGTTTCATGGGCTGGGAAGAACATTATACCCAGTAGAAATTCCAGGAGAGATATAACATCTATCCAGGATGGGGGCAGAGGGGGAGCAAGCTCTAGTAGACAAGCCTAGATTCTAGGGTTTAAGGGTTTAATTTGTTCTTAATCTGTAGAAATGTGATGATTATGAACCCAAAAGGGGCAGAGAATTGCAGCTGCCAACTTTGTGAACTGAAGAGTCCACAATGGTGAGAAGAAAATGTAGGGAAATAGGATTTTGAAAAGAGGGAACTACAAACTCATGTGTGTGTGTGTGTGTGTGTGTGTGCGCGCACACACACACACACACACACACGTGCCATTAAAATGAATATATTGGCTAGGATGCTGTTTTTATTCCAATCAATCCCAATTGTAAACAATTTAAGCTACTTCAAAGAATGGAAAAAGATATCTCTAAATATATCTGGCGGGGGGAAAGCCAAGAATTAGACATAAAATTATGATAGATACAAAAGAAAGAGGAGGCTTTGCTCTGCCAGATTTGCAAATGCATTATGAGGCAGCTTGTTTGTGTTGGTTAAAAGAATGGATTATATTGGACAATGCAGACATCTTAGATCAGGGGTCAGCAAACTTTTTCAGCAGGGGGCTGGTCCACTGTCCCTCAGACCTTGTGGGGGGCCAGACTATATTTTTTTGGGGGGGAGAATGAATTCCTATGCCCCACAAATAACCCAGAGATGCATTTTAAATAAAAGCACACATTCTACTCATGTAAAAACACCAGGCAGGCCCCACAAATAACCCAGAGATGCATATTAAATAAAAGGACACCTAATCATGTAAAAACACGCTGATTCCCGGACCGTCTGTGGGCTGGATTTAGAAGGTGATTGGGCTGGATCCGACCCCTGGGCCTTAGTTTGCCTACCCATGTTTTAGATCTAGAGGGTCACCGCTTAACATTCGACTGGCATGCGTGTCTCTGATATGGGAAGGCTAAAACCTACAACAGTTTTATGAAGCACACCCTTAGGAAGAATCTGTATAGAATCTGGGAGAAATATAAAAATCTGCTGGAAAGAAAAACACCTTTATGGCTATCTCCCATTGAGGCAATTACAATTAAGAGAGTTGATATGGACAGACAATGGGCGATTTACAGGGAACTGGTGAATTTTACAGCGGGGGGACGACCCAAACTAAATTCGATGGGAAACTTTAGAAGCCAAGTTACGGTTTGGTTGCAGTATCACCAGATATACGACATGTTTAAATTAGAAAGAATGGATTTCTGGACCAAAGCTCACAACCTGAAAAACAACTCTTAGAAAATAAGGAGAAACTTCTGTCTAAAATGTATATTTTTTTTATTAGAATGGGAAACAAAAGACGAGCTTGTTAAAGCTTCAATTACACACTGGGCAATAGATATTGGACACAATATAGATCATAACCTCTGGGAGAAACTTTGGAAAAGCATATTTTTGTGGCACGAGTGCTGGAGGGTGGAGGGTAGGAAGGGAAAGTCCCATCGTGTGAGCAGCAGTCTAATTGTGCAAGTCAAATTTTGCCCAGAGAAACTTTACAGAAAGCTGAAGGGCAAAAGACCGAGAAAATCAGGATGGATTCAGGCATGTGCCATCATTGCCGATAGAACAGAGCATTAAGTACCGAGAGCGTGCATTAATCACTCCTTTGTTTTGACTGTAGGCCCTGGAGGTCCTGACTTCATCCATAGAGTATGGGCTGGATGACCTCAGAAAGGTAAGCACTATGCTTTGTGTCACTTAAGTTGATTCTCCACGAGATGTATTTGTAATGTAATTACTTCTGCTTGCATATTACAGGGTGAGGGATGTAGGAGTTTTTGCTCAATGACACAGCCTCTGGGATGCAGCAGGGCATGTTATTGGCTGCTTTAAAATAGCCTGCTGGTAATTGAACCCAGATTCCCCTAATCCTTATCAGTGGATCCCACACAGACATGCCTTCCATTGTGTGCTCTCTTTCACAATGAAAGCAGAATCCCACAACTGTGGGTGCTAGAAGGCCAGATCCACACAGTGTCCTCTGTCTGTATCCAAACCTGGCAATGTTAAACTTTGGACTGCCCCACCCCAATCTGCTTTTTGGATGCATTACTTCACTTCAAAATGTGGTGAGCAGCCCATATTTGGAGATCCTTCCTGACCATTCTGTTGAGCAAGGGCTCTGGACTCTGTCCCCAAATCCTCTTCTGATGATGCCACTGATACTAACTCGGGGAAGTATTTCACCTTTCTAGCATCTTCCTGTCTATGGTGGTGGTGGGGAGGTAAATCAATGATAGTTTGTAAATGAAAGATGGAAAGAAAAATGCTTGCTATGGACAGTTACTACTAAGCTGATTTGACTGAATTGGAATCCCTGTCCCTTCAACTCCTACAGTTTAGTGGGCAGAAATGTTGGACTCAATGACTGACCTTACGTTGGGCCTACCTTAGATGTTTATTTTCCACTAGCTAGTGCCTTCTAGCAGCCGCCTACAGAAACTCAAGCATCTGTGTTACATTACGTCTTGATTTCACTGTTGTGGTTGGGGAGGAGGCAGGAAACCTTTCTTCTTGGTTCTTTCTCACTTGTTTCAGGGGAACCTTAGCTAGAGAAATTGTGAGGGGAATAGAGGTAGGGAAGCCCCATGACAAAGCTTGCAAAACAGAAACTCTCTGCTTTTAGGAACAAAGAACTTGCCTTATCTTTAAATTACAGGAGACATGGAAGCAGAATGCACTGGCTGTGTTCAGGTTCACACCAGCCATGAAAGAAAATACACCGCACCAGTACTGTCAGCAAAGCAGCCTTACATTGGCAGATTCCTGCTAGCCCAGGAGCTGCCAAACACTGTAAAACTCTGTTCTAATGACTCCAGTAAAATTCGCCTTAATCAGGAAAATCTAATCTGGACAGCTTCTGATTCTGACTGGACTTTGTGTCCATTTTGGACAACTTCCAGGCCCCTTCCAGTTGTCCTGATTGGGAGCATCTTCCTGCCAAACTGATAACTAGATTTTCCTCTTGCTGATTCAGGGTGATTTCATGTGTTTACACAAGTCTTCATAATGGTGCATCTGGACAGTGGAGGCCAGTTCATCAGGGCAAATATGCCATTCCCCCAACAATCTCTATTTGCCCTCAGACAGCCCTCAAATGCCTGCCTTCTTAATTACATCCACTCCAGTGAGTTGCCCTGGCTATGGGCTTCCTCAGTTTTGGCTTTACAGAACTCAGCAGGGAATAAGATTGGAACAGAAAAAGAATTAGTTGGCTCTTCCTGCCATTGGCTCTGGCTCCATCTACTGATGGCCTCCCTGTCTTCCATCCTGCTAGTCCCAGTGGGCATAACCACCACTGCAGCTCAGCTGGTATTTTTTGTATGCAAACTGTTATTGGTTTTTGCTGAAGAATGAGATATGGGCCCATTGCACTGCTTGACCCTGCCAACTTTTTGATCCACGTTCTATGTTTTTCCCCCCGTCGTAAAGCCTGGAATTTGTTAAAGACCTACCCCATCTTGGCCTGCACAGGTTGGTTCCTTCTACATCTGCATCACATCAGGATGTTTCTGCCAGTGCAGTCCCTGATTGGTGGACTATGGTGGTGTTTCCAGGGATGCTGATAGCATGTGCATCATTTGGGTCTTTTCTGGCTCTGAGTTTTTCCTTTCCTCCCTGTCTGAGCACACAATGGATACAATGGCTGTTCGACTGGCATTGCAGCCGTGTGTCCCCCGTCCCGGCATAATGTGAGTTTAGGATTGCTTTGTGTCAGTAACTTTTTAAATAATTAAACAAAAGTGCTCAAAGCAAGCTGACATTATGCACACCACTGTTGGCACTGCTTACACTGAAACTTGGGACTCCAGGGTCATGACACTCCCCAGCTGTGAACAGGATGCTGAGTCATAGGCTATAGGGTCACCTGCTGGGAGCCAGACCAGGTGGGTGCTGCTCCTGGGCCCAAGGAACTGAGTGTCTCCTATGCTCCCTCGCCAGTTCATCGGTGCAGGGTGTGCATGAGGTACTATGGGGTGCAGGAGAAGTGTGTTTCTTCAGGTGAGAGGCGACTCCTTAAAGAGACCCTAGTTCTCCTAAAGGGGGCAGAGCTTAGAAGAGGTGGATGGGAAGCCGAGGTTCAACATTCCCCCAGTTCTTCCAATCCTTGTTGGAGCAAGTTACTCACTAGGAGCTCTCTTTGCTGCCTTGTCCTGTGGGTGCATTTGCAGGGCAGGGAGTTAGAGGGGACACTGTTCGGGATGTGTAAAGTATATAGAACAATTTGAATCATAATGGAGGAGGCATCTTTTATGACATTCTCTGCCATCACAATCCATTTGTATATTTGTTATCATTGGATATGTATATAGATGGAGGAAGAAAATATGGTGCGTAATAAAACAAGAACATTTATTAATGAAGGCATGAATGCAGCTAACAATTAATAATTTGGCCTGCAGTGTTAACATTCCTCTGTTGGGCAGTTTTGTTAATGTGTGTATGTGACTCTGAGTGTTTTAGTAGTTGTGTCCTGGGAAAGGCATGTTTCACCAAATTTGTAGCAGCATGGAACTGTCTAGAATCCGTCCCTATCCTGACTGCCTTCCCAGAGAAGACTTAGCAGCAAAGACTCATAAAACGATGAGAAAGTAAGCAGAGCTTGAGGAGAGCTAGGTTTCTGGTGTGGGTGATTTTACTGGTGGTGACATTATTTGGGTTAGAAAGAGGATCTAAGGAATGGGTGGGGGAAAGTAAACACAGGACAAGTGAGAGCTAGCCAGGAACATAAATTTTCCCAGCTGCTTTCGGATGACTTGAAAGCACGGGACACTGAGTTCACAGGGGAATTTAATGACTTGCCACTTCCCTGCTAGGTCAGGAATCCAGGAATAGGTCTTATGTGACTATTAGGAGTTTCCCATCTGTTACAAGGATCTGAGGCTGTAAGGGAATAGCAGGGAACTCCATTCTTGTGACTGCACACATGCAGCGCAGGGTATCTCACCGAAGGCAACTGAAAAGGAATCGGTATCATTGTCTTAGCACTTAAGGGGAAATTCTAAGAGACTAAACAGAAGAGAAAGTTTTAGAAAATGACTGTGAATGGATAGTCATTATGGATTTCATTTGAGGTTTTCTCACAGTAGAGAGGTAGTTATGTAGATATAAAAAGGAAGTGTGAGGAGAGCAAGAAGACTAATGGGAACAATTAATGGTGGGGAAGTAAAACCATAATGAATGAATTACCGGTATGATAACCTGAATAAAAATAGTGATTAGCAAAGGTCAGTTGTGTTCACACTCCCATTTACTGTGCCCTCACTGCATTTCTGACCCTGGATTTTTAATCTGTGTTCACACAACACTATCCAAAATGCATATGTATCCTGTACTTATAAAATACTAGTTTGATGTGTTGTTTCTCAAACCTGCTTAACACAGATTGGAGCCCTTAAGCTGTTCCTAATTCTTCTCTAGCAAAAGTGATAGCACGTTTGCATAGAGTAAAGTTGCTCCCTTCCCATCAACACTCCCTGGTGAAACACAAACAGAAATGAATCTGACATTAATGAAGTCATGCTGATGTGAATAGCTAGCAGAGTTGGTGGGGGGTGGGAAGAGCAATGAAATGCACTAGGGAAAAACAACAACTTCAGTGCATTCTGAGGTGGTAATGTGAACCCAGCCTTTGCTTTGGGTTCCTTGATCTATCTGGCAGACCTTAATTCTAGGAAGAATATGACAAATGGTGGATCTATATGGTGGTTTTGTGTGCCTTTTCAGATGACAGCCTCTTGTGGTCTTTGTGTGTGTGCCTTACACATCCCAAAATATATTACTTTGGATTTACCCTACTTAACCAATTATTGCAGAAATCCATCCTTCCCTTTTTTCATCCCAAATAGGAGCCAACATACACCAGATTTAGGCTTTCTTCCTGATTTGAGGTTATCTGCTGTTCAGCCAGTTACACGCTGACTCTCTACTGTTTGCCTTCAGAGTTATTTAAACAAGGCTTGAAATATTTGCACAGTCTGTTAAATTCCATGACGAGGGGAGGTGGAAAGGTCTTCTCTCTCTACCTTTATCCTTTGTCACTTTACAGAAGTTCAGAGCTTTTGTAAATTCATCCACATGCAAAAAGGTTCTAGTCAGAGATACTGGCAGGGCAATATGTGATTGCCAGAATGTAAAGGGACAGATCAGGAATAGAATAATTCCCCATAACCATCAATTAGCAAAATATGTTAGCAACTGCAGAACTGTTTGGAGAGGAAGCATGAAGCAAACGTGGGGGGCTTGTTGCAGGATGGGAAAGTAAAAATAAAATATTTTTATTGGTCTAAATTAAATATTTATATCCTTCATCCAAGGATCACAGGGCAGTTTTCAATATAAAGACACAAAAATACATAACATAATAAACCAAACAATACCCCGCTCCAGTTTAAAAGGCCATAGATTGTTTAATTAGCCAAAGATATGTAATAATATTCATGAAGGCAAAAGGTGAGCCTCCCGGGGGAGAGTATTCCACAAATGGCAAACAGTTGCAGAAAATGCCTGTTCTTCTGTTGCCATCATCTGGACCTCTTGTGGAGTTGGTTCATATAGGGAGAGGCAGTCCTTGGGTTATTGTGGTCAACAGAAAATAGAAAACAACAACAAAGTAATCAAACAAAATATTATAAATGAAATAAATTACTAAGCTGAAAACTAAATACAGATCCAATTACAACCTACTCTTCCATAACTTAGCTGGCAAAATGTCTCGCCAACCCATTTTGAGGCATGTCCTCATTTTTCTAGGATCCAGCTGGAAGGGAACCTGCAAACGCCTTGGGTACCAAACCTAATATCACCTTGGTGTGGTTGCCCCTACAACTTTGATAGGAATTTGACAGGAAGGGGATTGTATGCCATCTGCTTTACCACACTGCTGTTTGTCACATTTGTATTCTGTTCCTCCAGAGATCTCAGAGCAGCTAACACATGGTTCCAGGTCATCCCGGCTGCACTCAGCTAGTTAGATTCCGCAATAGAGCTGGGATAGGTACCCGTGCAGTATGGAACTGAATTACATGGAGAAACACAGGGTGCTTACAGACTGTCGCTATTTTGGGATGGGCTTTAATCACATACTGGCAAATTGAGGTTGCACCACTGAAGTTAATTTGGAACTGCTGCACAAAACCAGACCTTTTGCGGTAAGAAAAAGTGATGGGGAAATGCACTGGAAAATGTGAGATAAAATTTGCTTGACACAATGCCGTCTAATCTTCCTGCAAACAAATTGGAATGAAAACTCAATAAAACGGCATCTGGAAGCAACCTTGGACTCTCCTTGTCTTCAGGGAAGCGGCAGAGAGAGACATCTGGGAAGAGGCTTGGGTTCTTCTTGCCACGTTTCGTTCTGATTATCATTTACAACCTGTCCTGCTGGGAACTCATGAGAACGCAGACGGCTTCCATTCCCGGACACATCTGATGTTTCTTAGGGGCATGTGAGCATGCCTTTGAGAGTGGGGCAGGGTTGTTAACAGCTTCTGATGTGACAAACAGGGAATGAGAGAAACCCCTGCCAGGAGATCAGGCCCTTGTAAATGTTTATACAAGCAGATTATTTGTAGGACCTTTCCACACTGCCCTGCATAGGACTTTTGGCATCCCTACATACCTTTGAGCTTTACACGTTCATGGGGCCTTGAGAAATACAAGTGCTTCATAACTTGAACCTTTGCATATGCTGTTTTGACAGTAGCTTGACATTAGTGAAATATACTTTCTGTTATTTAAATATGTTCAAATCCGTGTCTTGGCAACGGCCTTCAAAACCCTTTGGTGCTCACCTGACATTTTCAATCTTTTCTGCATAATGATGAGGGCCAAAAATTGATATATGTGTGTGTGTGTGTGTGTTTAAGGGGATCTGCAATTCCTTTGGTTCAGCATAAATCAGGAGACTGGTGTTATCCTGTTGCCAATCTCCAGATGGAATTAACACATACAGCCACACTACCTCTAAAGCTCTACTCATGCCCAGTTTCAATGCATTCTGGAAAAATCAAAACTAACCTCCAGAAGTGTAGCCAGCAGTGCTACAATGAATATGTGCACATTTGGCAGTTATATCACAGTCTCCCACACTCGCTGAGTTCTTTTACAGCTGTTTTAGAAAAATCAAATTCATGAAAATATGAATGCTTATGTACCTCCGTATAAGTGTGCACACAGCATTTTTACGAAGGTGAAAACAATGCAAGTCTCTCCCTTTTGGACTTGCCCCTCAGCTTAAGAGCACTTTCTATTTAGGAGTGAAATTAACTAGGTCAGCAGCTGCTGGCAAACTCAGTGGTATAGTGGTAAAATCAGAAGTGCAGCTGCTCTTCAGGACAACCCCCACAGCTGCACCCCACAGCCATACCCCTTCTGAGACTGGGGAACAAAAATGAATTTTTGATCAATGCAGATGTTATGGCTTTAATACCAAAAGAGCCTTCCTCTCCTCCCCCAGTTTGTTTAACATCTAGTCTGATGAAGAGGCTCAGCACAGATGGCAGGTGTTTTGGCCCACTTCGACAGATAAACTAGCTGGTTCAGTACATTTATAGACCTATTCAAGCAGCTCTCTCCTACTTGCCACTCCATAGGCATGTCAAGACCTGTTGCTGCATTCCTTGTTCTGCACTGCTAGGGAAGGCAAGGATTCTGTAAAGGCCACCCAGGTGGGGACGTGCTGCCCTGTTAGGTTGAAGGGCTGGGGGTCACAATGCTTCACTAGGTACTGTAACCCACAACAGAAGAGAACAATTGATCATAGAGACAGGAAAATGCACTGCTATGCATTTTCATAACACGTCTCACAACAGTCAGATTAGGGTAATGTTCATTTTCTTTTCTGGAAAGAAAGTGAAACAACAAAAGCCAGCAAAAGTTAGCAGACAGCCTGTTGGTAGATGCCAGCTTTTTAATGCTACTGGATTTCACTTCCCTCCTATACCTGGGATACTAGAACCCCAGAGTCTGGGTCCTTCTGGTCCCCTTGACCTAAGCCATAAAGCCTACAGTTCTCATAGAACATGAAGTCCTTGTTCCCAAACCCCTTGTTCAAGCAACACACACACACACACACACACACACACACACACACTCCTCACTCCTATCTTATTCCAGCAAGCTAAACAGCATTTATCTGTGACACAGCTCATAGCACACTAAGGTTTCACTTTAAATGTATCAGGTGCCCAGGGCATTCTGAATTCCAATCAGCAAAAGAAACGAGCAAGGGAAAACTGAAGCCTACAGCCGAAGTATGTATCCCACCTTTCTTTCACAGCAGCATGTATAGATTGTCAGGAGGTCTCCTAGCTAGACACTAACCACACCCAGACCTGCTTAGCATCAGTTAGATTTCTAAATCATGTTCCTTCAGATCATAGCTCTGGGTGAGACACCCTAGCAGAAAGGCATTGTGTATTATTCACTTGTACCTATATTACATGGTTCTGGTTTACACTGCTTATGTTGCTTACAGAAATACATTGGGTTTCCTGCATTGGCAGGGGGTGGACTAGGTGACCATTGAAGGCACCAAATCTGTGACTTTTTTATTTGTATTTAATCAATTGCAGAGGTGTACCTAGGCTCCCTTGCGCCCTTGGCAAGGAGATGTATTGGCAAGGAGAGGTGCAATTTTTGTGCCCTACCGGGCCTGCTTAGGGGGCCAACTTAGCCAACCTCTAGGTATGCCTCTGGCCATTTGCCTCTTCCAGGCCTCTGCGTGTATTGTGTGTGGATGGGGAACTTGTGGAGATGTTGTAGGATTACTGCTCCCATCATCACTGGCCTTGCTGACCAGCGTGGATGGAAAGTAGAGTCCAGCAACATCTGGAGGGCCACAAGTTCTTCAAATAGCCTGCCCCTAGGAATGCATTATCCACCCTTGTTTTACCTTTTAAAAAACCCTCTTGGAACAATTACACCAGTGCACACCTTAATGAGCAATGAATGTGTATGCTTATAAAGAAACAGCTTACAAGAAACATGTGTTATTTCCCATTGTGGAAATTATGGAGCCCATCTGCCCAAATGAGTACAGCAAAATCTGCACAATTGTGCAAAACATAATCAAGGAAATTCCCTGCAAGCCTTACCTTTTGAACTGGGAGAAATATTGAAAGAGTTGGGGTTAGGGGAGTGGGATGTAGCTAACAAAAACATACTCAAGTCTAGAAATCACACCTGTGGCTTCAGATTTTTCTGGGATTTCTGCCCACAGTTTGGATAGTAGTGAATTGAAACATCAGTCCTTTGGTTCCGTTTCATGCACACACATACCATGTCCTCAGAATGGTGAGGCTGGTCCATAGTATGTAAAGGGGGGTGGTTCCCAAGATTAGCAAACCAGATGCCCCTGGGTTAAATGCATCTTAAAGGTACCACAAAATGCACTGACTCATCAAATTAGACGTGGCATGGTCTGTCATCAGAATCCCCTCTTTCATTTTTTAAAGTAGAAGAAGCTGGTAGGCAGATGGGGATCAGGACCATGATGCTGGGGGCAGAGGGTTTAATTTTCCTCTCCCCTTGCTGTTTTCCCAATTTAAATGCCACCCTTCCAAAGCTTCTCTTTGCTGAAAGGGGTGGGGAGGGGGGATATGCTGGCAGAAGGACTTAGGGACAGCTGACCTGTATTGCAAAGCCCAGACTGAAGCTAAAAATTGCCCTCACTTCAGCGGGGGATGCAGCTGATTGTTCTGAATCAAAGTTAGTCAGGGCGGAAGGAACAGAGATCCCCTTAATCCATCCAGCCATGAGCTGGAGCAAATCTTTGTTAGGCTTTTCCCCAAGAAGAGGTCTTGGAAATACAACCCCTTGGCATGGCCCCATTGATCCAAGCTGCTCATTGTCTGCAGGTCAGCAGCTGCAGAGAGCTGGCTGGGGCCCATGTTCTCTGTGATGATTTAACAGCGCCCGCCCCCAGCTCCCAGGCCTTTGCTTTTAGTATAATAACTTCCCATTCCAGAGCCAGAATAGAGTGGTGATGGTGGTAGTAGAACACAGCCCGCTATTCCCAGAAGGCGCGTGGGGTTATCTGAGTGTTATTTTTAGGAAATATCATCGGCATAACCAGCCTGCAGAAATAAAAGCTAAATAAACAAAGCTGCATTCCTAGGCCACTAGGGTAAACCCATTAGAGTTCCTGCAACTGATACACTGAGGATATACAAGTAAGCCAGAGCAGTTGACCCCAAAGAGGCTCACATTTTTAGCTCTGTTTGTATTGTTCCAGTCTTTGCAAGTAGTAAGTGTTCACAGTGCTTAATTTGCATTCTGGTAATGGCAACATGTTTTATTTAATTTATTTTCAGCATATTTATGCTGCCGCATAATATAAAGTTCTCTGGGTGGATTACAATAAATAAGAAAACACAACATGTTCTATCCAGTGTTGAGTGTGTGGACTTCTCTTTGTGCAATGGACTTCTCTTCCCTTTCCGATTCTCCTTCTGCTGTCCTCAGATCTATTTTGGAGTGTCCCCTAACCCTCTGGAGCAGATTTTTGGAGAGCACGAGAGGGCGGAGATGAGAGGGAAGTTCCATTACATGGGTAAGAGTCTTTTCCCCTTGTGGAAGGAAGATACAACCATATGTAAATATAAAGTAGACCACAAAATACAAAATTTACAAAAAAGCTCATAACAGGCACAAATTGAAAAACACAGATTGAAAAACTGAGAGGCCCAGACTACATAAGTTGTTTGAAGGCTTGGATAAACAGAGATGTCTTCATCTATCGCTGAAAAGACCACAAAGGTGGTACCCAGACAAAGCTGTTCCATAACCTGATTCTATTACTGCAAAGGTCATCTCCTTGGTGGTTACTTGATAGGTGCAGACCATAGTCTCTGAAGGTAAACTTAAGGTTCAGGTTGGTAAATATGTTCCATTCATGTACATGTTTATTTGGCTGGACATACCAGGTTTTATATAAGAAGAATTACTTGGCTGGGTATGAAATAAGGGGCCTTCATTGTGTGTGTGGGATGGGTGTTGTAGTATTTATTCATTTTCATATTTAAACTGTTTAACATGGTTGTTTTCAGATACAACTTGGTTTACATTGGAGCATATTACATGAAGCAATTACATAAAATTAAAATTTAAACAATAAACACTCAGATAAACATTTCTGGGCATATTAGCAAAGTTGTTTCAAAGTGTATGTACCAAAATTATTACAGATATGAAAAATCCCCTGATCTAGTTTCCAACTTTCTGTTTCCAATAGGGGTCAGCCAAATGTCTCTGGAAAATTTGTGTAGAGAACTGAACCACAACTGGACCATAGGGCAGTGGTTTTTCAGCTGTTCTGTGTTACCACATTGCCTTGGTAACAAATTAATAGCTAGTAGATCACATATTGCAGGCACACAGGAAAGGAAGCGGGCCAGGCCAGGAACCCATTATAGCTAGGAAGAGGCGACACATGAGATGAGCAGTACCAAAAACGTGCATCTGTGGCACTTGTAGTGAGAAAGGAATGTGGGCATGATGGGGCAGTAGCTTAGCTGGTAGCACAAGAGGAAAGGAATACCTAGCATGGAACACCTATCTGGTGGAAAAGGGGAATCCTGGGAAGCTGAGAATGACTAAGGGCTTAGAAATTGGTAGCTAGAGCCAGCTGGCTCCCGTCCAACTGCTTCTTGTGAAGCTCGCCGAGCTCCAGACCACAGAGGTGGGAAAGGAAACTGAGATCATCCAGTCTGTTGCCATGTGCCAGGCCAGGCAATCCCTCTGCACTGCATTCCTGAGTGCTGAGTCTAGTGTGACTTCAGATACCATGTTCACTTTTCAGAGTCTGTTTCTCAGCTCTTGTAGTAGCAGTACCAGTAATGTAACTTGATAGTAGGCCTCAAAATTACAGTTTTTCTAATCATAGCAGCATACCTTGTCCTTTCCTGGGGGTTGCAGGCCTGTGTCTCCAGTATGGTTGGTTGGGGACAACTAGTGGAGGCTAAAACTTTATGGATGTTGAGTTTTTATCAATGTGTATAGGTGACAGAAAAGCAAAAAATGTGATATGTGTATATGACTTCAACACAGAATGGTGTAACCAGCTATTGAAAGTCTGAAATTACTTTTATGTATTCCCCACCAGCACCACTTTCTAAAACAAGCGATGGACATGTCTGCTTCAGGTGACTGGAACTATACTACTGGTTTCTATTTACAACAGAAATATCAACCACAATGAGAAGAAGTTTGAGTTATAATTGCAATGTACAGTCACCTTTCATGAATGGTCTGACTAGTATCCAAATAAGCAACTCTGGCTGTGGTTTCCAGTCTGGGAATGGATGAGAATTTTGTTCAGTCTGAACTGAACTGATCTGTTTTGAACTTCCTGGACAAATGCCAAGATTGGAACACAACAGTGGGGACTGGCTGGTGCACGTTGGAGCAGGCAAGAGACCAATAGGAGCTAGAGCCAGGGCCAAGGACAGGCAGAGCCACCCGCCTGACTGGTTGTAAATAAGAAGGCAGGCAGATTGGGGGCTGGTTGAGGTTTGTGGGGCAATGTCCAATTTGCTGAAATGGACCAGCCTCCAGTGGATAATTATCCTTAGGATTTTTTCCAAGTTTTATTATAACATTCTTGTTGAACACCCCACCCACAAAATGCAAAAAAACACACTTCCTGTAGTTTGTGCTAAAAAATACTTTTAGAAATGTGTACATTGCAAGAAAGTTGTATTTTAATAACTCTTTTGTGATATGTATTTAAATTCAAATTTTGCAAGGATTTTTTTTTAAATTACAGATTGATTTGGAAACAGAAAGGAACAAACTAATGAGTAAACACATGTGAAATAGATGTGGAATAAAAATAGACTGATCTGTCCATCCTATTCCAGTCAAGAATCAGATGAAGGCCAGTATCATTGTAGGATATTGGCCAACAAAATTGGATCATCTTAACCAGATGTGCACCAAGAAGTCATTGCAATAAAAGCTCCTGTTATTAAACACTAGCCCTGCCTGAAGATTCCAGGCTCCTAATCAACTCTGTGTTAAATGGTTCCTTGCTGTAGCCTTTTTATCTCCCAATACAAATGCCAACTTTTCTGACATGGTGCCTATGACAGCTCAAGGGCAAGATGAAATTCACCCTGTGACATTTTGCCTGTCTGTCACAGGAAATCTACCAGAAAAAGAAGGTGGCAATTTTATTTAACCCAACAGCTTTTTTCCTTTTTTTAAAAAAAACAACTTTCCTAATAAGCTACCCTGCTAATCACTTTTGTAGGGCATTAACCTTTGTAGTTTGACATTAAATACCAGGTTTACCATTAAATAGGATCACAAAGGCAGGAACTTTTCGCACCTTCTCTGTGGCATGCTTTGCCTCTGAGTTTACGCCCCAAACCCACAGCAGTGCTGCTTGCTGCCCTTAGCCATAAAAGGTAAAGGGACCCCTGACCGTTAGGTCCAGTCGTGGATGACTCTGGGGTTGTGGCGCTCATCTCACTTTACTGGCCGAGGGAGCCAGCGTAACGAGAGCAGCACACGGAAACATCGTTTACCTTCCCACCGGAGCGGTACCTATTTATCTACTTTCACTTTGACATGCTTTTGAACTGCTAGGTGGGCAGGAGCAGGGACCGAGCAATGAGAGCTCACCCCGTCACAGGCATTCGAACCGCCGATCTTCCAATCTGCAAGCCCTATGCTCAGTGGTTTAGACCACAGCGCCAACCTTAGCCATACTGCCTTGCAAATCTGTGCTTTATATGTTCCGTCTACATGGAGATCCTGCACAGAGCCAATTCTGTTTTCCTGAATTGTTTCGTACATCACAGAATAATAGAATTGTATAGTTAGAAGCAGTGCTCTTTTTCCCCCCCTAAAAAAATGTTTAGGGTTACTCTCATTTTCCTACTCATATTGAAATACTGCCCCTCAATGAGGCCAAACTTAGATTAACAAAATGTTTAGGGGTATGCGTACCCCCAGAAAATAGTACTGGGTAAGAAGGGACCCCGAGGGTCATTTGGTCCAACCCCCTACAATGCAGGAATCTCAACAAAAGCATCCATGACAGGTGGCTATCCAACTTCTGCTTACAAACTTCCAAAGAAGGAGAGTCTACCACCTTCTGAGGGAATCAGTTCCACTGTTGAACAATCCTTTCAAATAGTCATGATCTGAATGATTTGCCCAAGCTTTCTTAACTGATTTTTATTGTGTTGTTGGCTGTGCCACATTTGTAGTTACCTATCACCATCCCTTCCCCAGCCCCTACGTATTATGCTGTAGTGTGTTTAATCCCCTTTCCAAGCCATTAGTGCTGCTGAACGCACTTCTTGGACACGCCTTTCGCATGTTCATACTTACTGGTTAATCATTACCTCTCATGGTCTTTCAGTTAGGGCTACAGTGTGTGTGACAGTGTTTTGATTAAGACCTGTTTTGAACAAAGATCACCAAGTTGCCTGAAACCATGGCAGATGGCTCAGACATAAAGTTGGTGGTTTCTCCAGGAAACATGGAGGGTGACCGTGACCAGATGCAAAGGAGGACAAGGCATCTGTGCCTTTAATAGTAGTTCTTAGCCTAAATTACTATTAATTCAATATTGTGTACACATTACCAGCTTAAAAAGCAGTGAGGTTGTTCCTCCTTCCCTCCCTGCTGTGTTTCAATTCACATGTGCATGTTGTTGTAAACATCAGTACAGTTGGATGTTTTTCCAAGTTGCCTACTGCCTGTCCCCTCCAATGGGTGAAGAAAGGGCTAAGATCATTTTATTTGTATTTGGTAGTCTATGTACACACACCTACACATGTTCATATGCACAACTGTTAATGTTCTAAGTATTATTATTTTTGATATCACTCATTTTCATTTGGGTTCCTGTGGCTTTGGCTTTTGTTACTTATATTTGGGGATCCTCTCCTTTTTCTTTACATGGTTTCCATTTTATCCTTACAACAACCCTGTTGTTAGGCTGAGAAATAATCATAGAATCATAGAATTGTAGAGTTGGAAGGGACCCCAAGGGTCATGTTGTCAATCCCCTGTAATGCAGGAAGCTCAACTAAAGCATCAGTGACAGAAGGCCATCCAACCTCTGCTTAAAAACCTCCAAGGAAGGAGAGTCCACAACTTCTCCAGGGAGGCCGCTCCACTGAACCGCTCTTACTCTTAATGCATTTGAACCTGAGCCTCCCTGCTCCTAATGCAACATGCTAACATCTCCACTGCACTGCATCTCCGATGGGCACACTCTATCTGATGAGCACAAAGCAGTCTCTGGGCATACAGTAGTGCTGTGAATGAATATAGCACAGTGCTCTGTATACTTCCATGCAAGCTAGGACTTTGTATTGGGATCTGTTACGGCTAATATGTGTACCAAAATACAATTAAATCAACTTCAGTGCCAGCCTCCTCATCTTCCTTTGCTGGAATCTGTAGAAAGCTCAGCATCTAAATGCAAGTGACTGTTTTCAGGCCGTAACCAAGCCTTGAGTAATGCCCAACTTCTCCAGAATCTCCGCCGCACTGGTTCTATTTTGGGTGCTGCGTTCAGCTGCAGTTTTCTTATGCAACCATGGCAGCCTGTGCATTGCCGATATTATGAAGAAACAGGAAGGATGAGGCATTTACAATTCCCATCTCTCTTCCTCCTCCTTCTCTACCTCCTCCATCTCTGTATGTCAAAAGCTGCTCTTTGGCCTGGTTTCATATGTCACAAGATTGCCTTTGCACTGGCATGACATAGCATAGATGTTCCTGCAGCTGTTTTTTTAATAAGCTATAAAATCCATAAATGTTGGCTCCTCCTCCAGTCTGGCACAGACAGCTTCTATGGCTGGCAGAAATTCCCACTACCTTTGTACATTGCAGCTACTGTCTAAAGGAGGATAGGGATTTCTGTTACCAAGTTGCTGTGGAAGGGAATTCGTCCCTTAGCATCAATCCAGTTTGGCAGGAAAGAAGGGCATGTTCCCTGACTCACTTTGCCCAAAGTGCTCTGTCCTTAGTGTTATCAAGGATGAAGGATAAATATGCACCATCAAGTTGCTGCACATGCTGTTGTGGATACAGTGGTGCCTCGCAAGATGAAATTAATTCGTTCCGCGAGTTTTGTCGTCTTGCGATTTTTTTCGTCTTGCGAAGCACGGTGTCGGGAAAGTTTTGGAAAAGCTTCAAAAATCACCAAAGTCTTTAAAAACCTCAAAAAAGGCTACCACATCGCGTTCTATGAGTTGCTCCTCGAAGTCAAGTCGCAACTGTATTAACGGTGTTAAGAAAAAGGAAACAAACTTGCAAGACGTTTCCGTCTTGCGAAGCAAGCCCATAGGGAAAATCGTCTTGTGAAGCAGCTCAAAAAACGAAAAACCCTTTCGTCTAGCGAGTTTTATGTCTTGCGAGGCATTCGTCTTGCGGGGCACCACTGTACCTATTTATCCTTGGCCATTCTGCACAGTATTCTGCTTCTCCCTCCCAAAGCAAATTTGGGTTAGAGCAATGTTTTGATGTGTTGTCCCTCCTCTTTCCCCAAGTCAGTTTCCTTAACTTTCCAAGACGTTGCCTCCCAGTCTTCACCTTTGCAGCCCAAAAAGCTTTCCCCACTAGATATGCTGCAGTGGGTAGAGTGATGGATTAGAACTGAGCGGACCCAGGTTGAAATCCCTACTCAGCCATGAAGTTCACTGGCTGACCATCAGCCAGTCATCATCTCTTACTCTGACCTATGTAACAGGGCTGCTGAGAGAATAAAATGGGAGTGAGAGTAAGAGGACCGTGTTTGCCATCTTGAGCTCCTTGGAGGAAAGGTGGGATATGACAATAATAAATAAATACCTCTTTGGCCTGCTCTGTCTCTCTCTCTCTTAATGAGTCAGGTGATAGGTGCGTTCTCACCATTTGGGATAAAGTGGCCTTGTATGATGACCAGTCAACTGCATCAAATAACAAACCAGTGTGAAGTATCAAGTGCTCTGGGAAGACTGTGCTAATGTCATCTCTTCATTTAGTTAGGTGATGCAGCACATGGGGTTGTAAAAGGTTCCCTGTGTCCTTCACTTCTTTGTCGTAAAAACAGCTAGTTTGTGCAAGGCTGCCATAGTGACATGACAGTTTCCTCTTAGTGGAGACCTTTGTAATTTATGCTTTCATAATTTCCACTGTGTTAAGAATATGATTAAAAACTGACTTCTTAAGGGCTGATTACCAACTAAATGGGAAGGAAAGCTCTGTTGTGGAATACACTGGAAATTCTGTTGCCTTACGGCTTCCTGGAGTGGAGCAGTAGTGGTCACAACCCTGTTTAAAGACCTATTCGTATTGTGGTTTGCTTTCTCCTTACACAGTGTCCCTCATTGCAACATCTCTGTGGTGACCATTGTTGGTGCTCTCACACATTCCAACCAACACTATATACAGACCTACAATATACTGTACTATATACCCTGAGCCCATGTATCTGAGGAAACATCTTCAGTAGAAAGCCCACCCCTTTCTTGCCAGTGGGTAACCAAGGTTTGTCCTTGACTTACTGCTTGTTGTTTGTTTGGGTTGTTTCATCCCTGGCAGCAGCAACAGCAGGAGTAAGGTTTGATGTGTGAACTGGCTGATACTGTCTGTACAGTCAATTATTTGATTTCAAGAGTTTCTAAAAGGCAGAAAGCATGAGACCTATCAAATATCAAGTATCCAGCTTCTAACAGCTCTTGTAATTGTGTGAAAAAGCTGAAGGAGGGATGTGATCAGTAGTTTCTAATAAACTCTTCTCCAGAAGATTTTATTTCTACTCTAACTTTTCTAATGCATTAATTTGACAGTTTAAAAAAACCCCACCATTCCAGTTCTAAACACAGTTTTATAACTTGGAGAGGAAGCTATTAATGTCATTAGATCATTTTATGCTGATGATAACCATACATCAGAATTAAAGCTTGGCTATTTGTTCTGCTTTCAAACATGTCAGTTGCATCTGCTTCCTTATTTCATCTCTGTGGTGTCCTTCAGATAACCTTTTTTTATTCAGCACTCATCCTGATTTGCTTGTGCAGAGTCAACACAGTGGTCAGATTAAACCAGGCATGTCTGAAGGCTGTTTTGGGAGCCTAATCCGGTGTGCCGGTCGATTTAATCCAGCCCCCGTGGCAGTATATATCCTTATGTCCTGGGGTAAAATCCTAATCCTAAAATAAGCTCAACAACTTTGGTCGGCACCCACGCATGTTCAGTCCATCAAATCTGGCCCTCTTTGAAAAAAGTTTGGGCACCCCTGGATTAGACTCTGCCTGATTTTTACTGATAATTCATTCTGATTTGCTTACAAAATACCGACCGTATGGAGTCAGGTTGTAGGAAGGTCATCAGGATATGAGGATACAATTCCAGGTAATCATGAAAGTAGAAGCCACAGCTGGAGCACTGGGAGAGAACGTAAGCACAGTGAAAGCCAAGGTTATCCAAGTTTTTATTCCCATGTCTAGAAGGCCTGCATGTTTTTTTCTTTTCTTTTCTAGGCTCTGTTCAACTAAATGGCAGCTCCGGTTCTCTAGAGCAAATGCTGCTCTTGATGGCATGGCAATTCTGAGTACTACTGACAATGTGCTCACTAGAGCCAAGTGGAACTGCTTAACTGAGACTAAGTCTCATTGCAGTTAGTGAGAGCTTCCTTCTGAGTAGACGTGCATGGCATTTCCCTGTCACTGTACTGCAAAAGCACATTCTCAAAAAGAAACCAGATGTGTCTTATTGTAAGACATCCTGTTTTCTTTACATGACCTCTGGCAATGTTGTCTAATAATTTTAAAATCATTTTCCATTGTCCAATGTTGCTGAACTCCCAGCTTCATAGATGTTGTTGGATCAACTCTCAGAAATCCTTACTGCTGGCCATTTGGAGATCCAAGGTTCAAAAAAAGCTGCTGTGTAGCATTTAGTATCTACCACCAATTTTCTACAGCTCTTCTTCCATTTTGTCATGTTACTGTTCCTTGACAAACAGAGACATAGAATTGTAGAGTTAGAAGGGGACACAAGGGCTATCTAGTCAAACCCCTGTAACGCAGGAATCTTTTGCCCTATGTGGGGCTCAAACCCACAACCCTGAGATTAAGAGTCTCATGCTCTACTGAGGACAAACTGTTAAATTTAAAGAGGGTCGTGCTAAATGATGAAAAGTGCATTCATTTTACGGTGTGTGTGTGTGTGTGCGCGTGCGCGCACCAGAATTCAATGTTTCTGTTGCATTTTAAACCTCTCTTGGTGGAGGGAGTAGATATGAAAAACAAAAGAAAGGTGAATGGTTAAACACCCCCTCCCTTGTCACTTCTCCATTGCAAACTTACCATGTAATCAACAGTGTAGTTTGGTCCTAAATCCTTGTCTATAAAATATGTGTGCCACTTATTTCTGATTTCAATTCCATTATGTTCCATCTGACTCCAATTTTAATATTTTCAGCATTAAATCCTAGTTCCCTCTAGGATTTATTTTGCAAGAGAATATACTTGTTTAGCCAGCCTGCTTCCTTGGTTGAAGACCAGTTGACAATGAGAGTTTTTTTCATTTGTACTTCATGGTGAATATGAAAGTATGTGATTCAACAAAAGCTAATTCTGGCTCATTCTGCACCACAGTGAATGGGACTGTCATTGAAAAAGAGAGGATCCCACACTCCTGGCTATTATGTGTCATGTTTAGTTGGCAGTGATAACGAAGGCGCGGAAGGATCACGCTCATCAATTCCGTCCTTGGGGAAAACCCTGCATGCACTGCACTTATTACTCCCAATCTGCTGGCATTCTGCTCATTGCTAGGAAACTAATTATAGCTTTGAAATCAGAGAGTGCGAATGGGGGTAGAAAGCCAAGTAGCAACTGCGTTTCTCACAAAGTGTGGGAGTGGAAGACAGTGCCTTGCTCCAGAAAAAAAGCTGGGATTAGGGATGGTGGCAAAATTCCCTATTAGCAGACTGAACTGGCCTTTAGTCCACTTGTCTGCTATCTTTGCAAAGTGGTCTTTCTTGCACCAACTTTCTGTAGATTTCCCCAATGCCAGTTTGATTGTTTTTAGAACAGAGTATGACAGCATTTGTACAGATACAATTTAGCCAGCTACCACCACCATCAAAATTTGATCTTAACTGTCTGTGCATGGGGTACTGCTTAAATTTGTATTCACTTTAACTTCTATCTCATGGATTCACTACTGAGGTGATTATGTTAGCCATTTACCACCATTAACAGTCATTTTTTAATTGTTAACCTGTCTCTCACTAATTCGTCCCATGTGACTTAGCTTTGTACGGATCCATCCAATTTGTGAATTTTGCTTTAGTTCTTCTATTACCACCAGCACCTAGGCTCATTATTCAACACTGGGACTCGTTTGGCTCTAAATTCTGGGTCATCCTGAAACATTCCCAGCTGGTTCATTTTTAATTCTTAGTCCCCTTGGCCATAATGACACTATACTAAAAGCCTCCTCTTCTTTGCTCTTCTTGTAAAGATTCATGAAATAACCTGTTATTGTAGTTAATCATCTCTGCAAGAGTGCTAGGGAGGTTTGGAGCATTTTTCTTTTTGTAGTTGGCAGACGAACTCTGAGGACAGGACATGGGGGGGGGTGGCACATCCTCTCCTGTAAATCCCCTGTTACTGCCACAGAAAACGTCAGTACCTTCCATAGCTGAGTGGTAAAACACATGTTTTTTTCATGCAGAAGGTCCCATGTCCTGGCTTCTCCAATAAAAAAACCCCCTAATTTATTTCCCAGCCTAGTTTTAGACTGAATTTAATATCTTCAAATCTTTAAATTGTCCAAGAGGGTATTTGTAATTCTACAGAATATCTACCTTATTAGGGAATGCTATTTTTGGTTGCTGTTGTTGTTTTAATTAAAAACAACATGCACATACTCTCTTGTAATGCATGTAGTCTACAGTCCTTTTCCACTTCATGTAGCCCTGGTGTAAGTGTGTGGGTGAGATTGAGTAGTATGCATCTGGGTCAGAAAGCAAAAGTGACATTTGCAATACATGATGTGTGATTTGACCCATTAGCACTTGAAAATCACTGTTCAGTTGCAAGCACAGAGAGGTTATTTTGAGCGGGGTGACTGTGTCACAGACAGGGATGACATCACTCCACTTTGCATGACCTTCACATGGTCCTATCTTACAATCTTTGCTCACTAATGAAATTCAAAAGCTTTCACTGGTTTTGTCAGTCCAGCAATCTCTGCTCCAGTATTTCTTATTAATAGTTATAGTTGTTGTGATGAGGATATTATTGTTGTTGCTGCTGCTGTTAATTATTATTACTGTTATTTTTATCTCACTTCTGGCTTTTGAATCATTACTCTTTTGTCACTTGCTTGGTATACTTCACCTGAACGTCCAGCTTATGATTGCCTTGCAAAATTCTAGACAGTCTCTCAGTGTTGCTGCAGCAGCTGCCAAGGTTGAAGTGCGGGTCAGGCTGCTGCTCAGACTCCACAATGGGAGTGATGAAGCTTAACTTAAAAATCTCTCTGACTATACAAATGCAGAGAAGTCAATTCCCAAGGCAGCAAGAAGCGCAAAATGGCATAAACTTTGCTTTCTAGCAGACCTTATTTCCATGGTTCAGAAAGCCTACTATTTTTTCTTATAAACCAAAGGGGCTAGAACTATCACCCTCCCACCCAGCTCCACCTACCGAAACCTGCCTCCAAGGCTGCCCATTAAGCTCCACCTAATGCAAAATGTGGCTGGTTGAAGAGAAACTGTGTAGTGCTCTTACTAGTCCATTCTTTTTCAAATAGAAGGGTAAGGGGAAAGGTTTGTTTATTTATTATTCTTACATTTCCAACACTTTAACAATAACTCCACGCTGGCTCTCAGTTCCCTCCCTGTGGCATGGGATGTCCCTTAGATTGCATAGGTGCTATAAGCATTTATCTGTAGTGGCTAGAGAAGGCAATTTGGGTGTGGCCATGCACTGGGTTTTGTGGGACTGAGAAAGAAGGTGCTATCTTGGGTCTGTTTTCTCTGCAGCAGTATGTGGAGCAGCCCTTAGTTCGCAGTGCCATTGCTTAGAAAACCTCATTGAAGGTCAAACTGGAACAGAGACAAAGTTCAGAGAACAGATTTCAAAGCAGCACTGTAGGTCTCCTGTTCCAAATTGGAGAGGCTGTAGCTCCAAAAATGCTGTAGATCTCAGGAAAGTGTTGGGTTGTTGCTAGTGCTACAAGTGTGTTCAAGATTCTGTCTTGCACAGTCTGATTCTCAACCTCTATTGTTTCAGCTATGTGTTGAATTCATCAAGGACACACTGAGTGTGGAGCAGGCCTGTGAGGCCTTTCAGGTGAGTGGCATTTCTTCCTCCTCCTCACAGTGCCTGTCAATCCTAGAGACCTAGATTAATTTACATGAAGGGGCGGAAGACCTTTACTAGGACATCCTGTTGTCAGTCAGCTGAACAGTTCAGATTCCCTTCAGATTAGGCTGGTTCTAAAGATACGCAACTCCAGTGATGAATATATAAAAGACATGGGATTGTTTGTGTGATTGGGGGCAGGCTGCAGAGTGGTTAAACAACCAATCCATCTTCTCAGGGAACTCCGAGAACTATAGCTCAGTGAGGGGAATAGGGGCCCCCTATCAACTCTCAGCACCCTTAACAAACTACACTTCCTGGGATTCTTTGAGGGCTCGTTGTGACTGCATTCAAAGTAATATGATATCACTTTGAACATAGTGTAGATGGAGCTTCAGATTTGAGGTGGTAATGTTTTCTCTTTAAGAGCGCCCTATCCACTTTCTTTAAAGCCACGTATTTCCATTTGTTGAAATGGAACGTAAGTAGTTATTTCTCTTTTGGCAGTCTATCTCTGTGAGGCGGGGATGTTGGCATGGATACTACCCATGTGATCCATCAGCCCAATGGGATTCTGGCCTTCAAACACTCAGGAAAGTGGCAACAGTGCCTTGATGATATATTAATTGGGACTAATTTAAAACCAGTCAGACGATTCCTAATGGGCAATAGTTATTCTTGGATCTCATTAGCTAAGCAATAGAAGGTTTTTGCTGCTACGAGGAAGCAAAGGCTTAATACTACTCTTGTTTTGGCAATACGTGCACTCTCATCTCTTTTGGTATATAAACAGAAGAAATTGTCATAGCCTATCCCACTCCACCACAGACCTCATGAACACAGCTTGTATATTATTTTTACATATTTATTTCCTAGCAATAAAAACAGAACAAAAAAGCAACACATCACCCAGGGCTTGGTATCAATAAAACTGCTATTACAGCTTCAACCTTCATCTTCATTTATCTGCAGAAAAAATATCCAAGCATCAATTTCAGTTTGTGAGCTCTTTTTGCCCCTCTGTTATTGGAAATGAGCCTAATCGCCCTCTCTGGAGCAGACTTCATCAGGATAAGAAGTGCATGTCTCAGAGTTAGAGCAAAAAAGCTGCCAATATTCTCTCAGCTTTATTGCAGATATTATGATTTTAGATTTTGTGGGTAAGGGACTAAAGTTTTGGAAAGAGGAACTGACCAAGGAGGAGCAATGCATATGCTGGTGAGGAAGCACTAGAAATATATCCTGGTATAAAAATCCCTTTTCCAGCTTTGTATTGCCTCTGTGGTGCCCTCCCTCCTTTACCATCTCCCTAGAGATTGTGCTGCCCCTTTCAGGGCAATGGAGGAACCATACTCTCTTTGAATTTTACTCTCCCAGCTCCCACTCCACTATCTGAGTTCTCTTTACAGGACCTTAGCAAGGCCTCCTGTGGTGCTGCAGCCTTTGTTCTGGCGGCACCTGCCCCTTCGAGGCCGACACTGAGCCCTGCGGGCTGATTTCACGCCAGCTGACACACACAAGCCAAATCTAGCAGCTGAAGTTCAGGAGCAGCCGGTAAATGGGACTCTGGCATCTACCAGAAACCACTCTAAGCTGGTGACCAGGCATTATAAAATGGGGAGGGGAGGGGAGTCCTGTTGTGCCCGGTTTCCTTTGCAACAATGCCTAGACGCTTCCTTTATTTTTGGTTGATTCTTTGTGTGCATCCTCTCCCCTGCCCCCACATATACCATGTATGGGCCAGAAGGATGAGGAGCTGCAACAAAAGGGTCTGTGCTCACTTTGCCTCAGGGAGCAGCCAGCCTTCTGTGCTGTATCAACTGCGGCCAAAGGGGATGGAAACTACCATGCTGTAAAATCTTTGGCAAAGGCTGGGGCAGCATTCGATTGCTAGATCCTTGACATAGTAGGCCAAATACTATCACCCCATTTCTGTGATCAAACATTGAAAAAACATTGAGAGCCAGTGTGCTGTCATTGTTAGATTCCTGGGCTAGGACCTGGGAGACCAGGGTTCAAATCCCCATTTGACCATGAAACTCACTGGGTGACCTTGGGCTAATTGTTATCTCCCATGCTAACTTACATCACTGCGTTGTTGGGAGGATAAAATGGGGAAGGGGAGAATGATATCTTGCATTCCTTGGAGGAAAGGTGAGCTATAAATGCAATTAACAACAACAACAACATTACTCAGATGTTTTGGCTCCTGAATGCCGCAAACCTGGAAGTGATTGTTCTGGCTTGCGAACGTTTTTTTGGAACCTGAACGTCCAATGGGGCTTCCATGGCTTATGATTGGCTGCAGGAGCTTCCAAATCAGAAGCCACAATTTGGTTTTCAAACGTTTTGGAAGTCGAACGGACTTCTGGAACGGATTCTTTTTGACATCCAAGGTACGACTGTATTCTCTACTACAGTAACTGATTTCATGAGGGTCTCAAATAGGCCTCGCTTGATATAGTTTGCCACTGCTCTTTTTCCATTTCTATAATAAAAGGTCATTTTTTGCAGTGATGCCTTTCTAGGCTCTGAGCCTAGGATAACTGGAGATGCTCCACTGTTGAGTCTTGTTGGCTTCCATAGGTGCATGTTGTCACAAACTGAGTCTCCCACCTTGCTTCTCGCTTGTATCATGATCACATAGCATCATAACATGTTATGATCATAACTGTGATATGATAGCAGGCTACAGGCAAACTGTGACCAAAGGTGTGTCAAGGTAGCAACCCTGAATGCAACAAATCCATATGTTCTAAATGCACCCACATCCTCATTCCATGCTTCTCCCTTGTCCACTTGCACCACTCCACACTGCAGGTGGTGGTGGTTATAGGACTATCCCAAGCTGTACAGTGGCTGAATATATACCATTCAATTAAAGCACATTAAAAGCACATGGCTTACCCCAAAGAATATTGGGGCCTGGAGTTTGTTAAGGGTGCCAGGAGCTGTAGCTCTGTGTGGTATAAACTGCCAAATATACATACATAATCATTTAATTGTATGCCACCTTTCTACAGTTGAAACCATGCTCAAGCCAGCTTACAACATGAAAAAGTTCAAAACACAGCAAAAGTAGTCGGAAACAATAAATAAAACATCAAAAAGTACACAACCAAATAGAACAATTTCCACATAAATTATAATAAAGATACAAAAATAATATCACTAACAGCAACAGTAATTCCCTAACCAGGGCACCAGCTGGTGGGAGGCGAGGGCCCTTGCCCTCCCCCCAATTTTCAAGGAGGGGGAAGGGCCCCCTCAATATCCTGTGGCAATGTGCATGCCTTTATTTATTTATTTATTTATTTATTTATTTTTATTTAAGATATTTATACCTTGCCCTTCAATAAAATTATATGGGAATCTTGCAAAATTTCAGACACAATGAAAGAAATTTAAAAATACCCTTAAAAAATATGTGTGTGTCCCCCCCCCCCCCCCATTTCCTAATGCATGCTTTGTGGTTGCTGTTTTCTCAAGGGCATTTGTGAAATTTGTGGAGCTAAAGTAGGCTAACCAACTGATGCTGCTGCTATTTTTGAATGAGCCACTGACCCATATTTCTGTAGCCCAGGGGCTATCGCCATACTAATTAGGGGAAGGAAAGGGAATCCTGGACTTATTCCAGTACAGTATGCACATACTCTCACCCTACTGAATAGGTAACCAGTGCTCTGGTAGCACTATCTGTGCACCAATCACCTCTTATGCAGGTGATGGTCGGAAATCGGCCCTTATGTGGCCCCCACAGTGTATTCATACCCTCCAGCCTAGATAAAGCATGGTTAGACATTCTGATTTTCCCCTTGCCTGTGAGAAGGTAATCAAATCTATCCCTAAGCAGCAAACTCTGCACTGAGCAATGTGATGTGGTACATGCACTCTTTCTTCTGGTTATATCAGAAGCTACCCCTAAATTGTTTGATTAATAAGAGCACAATTTCTTCATCTTCTTTCCCCTGCCTGTGTATATTTTTTACCCCTATCTTCAATGGTTCTTCATGTGTCAGCAATGCAGAAGGGCTGTACTTCCTGGCTGTAACCTCCATCATCATGTGGTGGCCCCGCCCTCCCAGTCTTATTGCATTGAACATGGAGGCCTGAAGAAGGAAACTACTCCTGCCCAGGCAACCCAAGATACCATGTTCTTGGTGAGAGTAGACCCCCTACTGAATTGAGTCAGGAATTCCCTTTCCTCCCCCTAATTAGTATTGTGATTGAACCTGCCCTTGGGATCCAGAAGCCCTAGGCATGAAAGTCAAGAGTCAGAGTCGGCAGGACACACAACACCATAGGTGGAATCAGCGGTCACAGTCCCATTCTGCCTCTATGCACATGCAAAGGTTGTTTTTGTGAATAGAGCTAATGGATTACTGTATTCTTAACCGAACTAGCAGAAGGACACAGCACCAGCACCATATTAGTCCCCACTCCCCACTGCAGTGCACATCCATAAGAACTTAGGTCCAAATACTAATTGATCACTATCAACGTATGTGGAGCCTCTTTCATGCTCATGTTTAGGTTAGCTTCATCCCCACCTTCAGGCAGAGTCGGTGGATGTGAGACTAAAACGAGGACTCCTGGCCTGGGGAGTGAAAGCAGTACTAGTTACAAACAGAGCTGTGGGTTCACAGATACTCCCTCCCTTTTCCTGTTTTGCTGCAAAAAGAGAACAGATAAAGGGTAAAGCCTCACTGTGCGCTGTTGATGAACTTTTTGTGGCCAGGTCCAACCCAGTTTACCAGAATGTCATCAGCATGATGACGTGTGCAAAACTCCCTCATATCTGTCTGTTAGGCTAGGTTTCTCCCACCTACGCCAGGATGGATTCCCCTTAAGTTCTCTCCTCCCACCCCCATTACCAGTTAAAAATAATAATACTTAACTTTTGGTACTGTGGGAACATTTTATTTGTTTATAAAATGAAGTTTCTGTTGCCTTTTGGTCCCCAGAAAGGACCCCTAATTATAATAATGTGCAACACAAATAGACAAGAAGACTAAGTTGAGGTGGAGCTAGTTTAAACACAATCAAGTATTTTAAAAAATCTAGAGCCGATATAACACCTGGAAGATTTTTTTCAAAAAGTTTTTACATCTCACTAAACAACCATAAGAATGGGAGCCAAGTGAAGCTCGTGGGGGAAGGTGTTCTTGTGATATGGGTGGTGCAACCAAAAAGGTTCTTCTGCGACTGAATATACCTTTGAGGGCACTTGGAGATGGAACAAGGCCTCAGATGATGAACATGGTGGGTGGACCAGTTTACGTGAGGGGAAAAGGCAGTCCTTCGAGTATCATGGTCCCACCAAACCATTTAGGGCTTCATAGACCTAAATGTATCTTAACCATATTGGGACTAGTTGCATCAGCACCTCTACTGCTTCTTTTTTTCCTCTCCAAAGACAATCTCCAGAGATGAAAACTATGAAGCAATTATTCAGGTCTGCAGCAAAGCTGTTGTCCAAACTCAGATGGTTCTGGCTGTTAAACAGGAAAAACATTTCTTGTTTTCACAGATGTGCCATCTGACAGAGTGCAGACATCCAAGGTTTAGTGGGTAAAAATATAAAATAATGTTAACTCGCATGACAAAGTACTCTTTGCAGTTATCTTCCCAGACCTGCTTATTGAGCATTCATCTCAGTTTGCTTGTACAAAGAGTGGAGATAATTCAATGTTAGCTGCTTCTGATTTGTTTGCAGGGAGGTTATACATAAGTGAGTCAAGTGATTGTTATCTTGCACTTTCTGCTGCATTGCCCTATCACTTTCCATACCACAAGAAGTCTGGGTGATTGTTTTTTATTTAAAAAAGTGGTTTGCTAACTGCTTAACCTTAATTTGTCAGTAAGTGACTGAATCTCACTCAAAAATAGTGACAGTTTGGAAGCAGCTTGTTTTGCTCTAGTAGAGGATGTTAAAGTCTCCTTCTCCACAAATGTTGATGCCTTGGACAAGACGTGCACTTTCAGTCTTTGGACAGAAATGTGTTTTAAAGTTGAAGTTTGTTGAGTCATTAAGTATCTGATAAGATTTGGAAATATAAAATTTCCATTCATTCAGACAAAAATCAGGAAAAGGAAAAAATCAGGAGGGGAAAATGCATCCTGGGCAGCAGGTAGAGGAATGACTCTTTTGCTTCTTAACAATTGAGGTGTTGGTGTGACTGGGATGCCTACCTCCAGCTTCTTCATTGATAGTTTTTAAGGAAGCATTCTAGCATCTCTCACTTCTTTCTTCCGCAAGAGTTCTTCAAGCGGACATACACAGAGAGACTGATTCTCCTAAACACAGAAAACTGCTTGCTTTCTGAAAGCAGGCTGGTTGACTTCTGATTTGTCACAGGATTTGCTCTGTTCTCCCTCATGCCTTTAGCTCAGGGGTGCCTGCCACCTTTGACCCTCCAGATGTTGTTGGACCACAACTCCCATCACCCCCTGACCATTAGCCATGCTGGCTGTGGCTGATGGGAACTGGAGTCCAGTGATATATGGAGGGCCACAGACTCCTCATCAGTGATATCACAGGAGGTCCCATAACTCTTGTTCACACCATTCTTCCCATACAAGCCGTCAAATACAGGCAGCTATATAAGGCTATGGTGAGAAACAAACCATATCCAACTGGAGTGGAGGCAGACAGATAATCTCCCCACCTCATGTCTCTCTCTTGGCTGAATTACATCTGTGGTATTCACAGAATGCATTTCATTGACCTGACACCCAAAGCTTAATGAGCCCTAGGCAAAACCCTTAGACATATAATGGCTACAGAATGAGGAGAGAGACAGTTAATTTCACCAGAGACAGCTGGACAATACATTTGCACCCCATTGTGTCAGCTTTCAAGATACAGCTCATCCAGTTGGTCTCCATCCTGTTCTATATATATAACTGGCTTCTTCCAGTTGAGTTTCATTTCAGTTTTCTGTTTAGAAGAACCAGGCATTTCTACCAATATAGGAATCCCTAAGGCTGGAATGGATCATGCTGCCAAATTGGGTAGAGGCTACAAACCTGGGCTAGTTGTTTTCTAAGAAGGGCATGGCCTATGCCAGGCATGGCCAAACTTGGCTCTCCAGCTGTTTTGGAACCACAACTCCCACCAACCCTAGCTAATAGGACCAGTGGTCAGGGAAGATGGGAATTGTAGTCCCAAAACAGTTGGAGGGCCAAGTTTGGCCATGCCTGCCTATGCCCCTTTGTGGGGAAAGCTTTCCATATCTGTGAAGTGTTGCTTCTGGGAGTTCCCATGTGATACAGGGATCAGTTCCTGTAGGAGACATGACATTTGGTGGTGTCATATGTAGTGGGCTAGCCATACCCATGTGTCAGAATTCCCCCTTTTTAGAAGGCTGGGTTGACTGGAACTCATAGTTTCTACTGCATTCTCCCTTTTACTCTGTCTGATAATAGTGGAAAAACAATGTTGCTACTCTGGTCACATGTGGTTTGACGGCTGTTTACAGTGGTCAGCTGGTGCCGTTAATTGGGATCGTTAGTTTCCAGCTGCAGGCTTGGCCATGTGGTAGGGCTGGTGTATCCTGAAAGCAACCAGCAAGATAATGTGGTTTGCCACAAACACATTGTTTTCACACAATAGAAATTGTTTGTTTCTTGCTTAACTGCACAACTTACTCCTCCTAGTTCCCACCTGTAATTTGTGCTCACTGAGCCTGGGATGTGTCTGACACAATATTCGCTAGTTCTGTCCCCATGGGAATCAGCAGAGTAAGCAGACATCATCACTTTCTATGGGGACTGATCATTTTCTTTGTAGCATTGAATCCACAGATGCTTCTATCGCTCTGCAGGAGATTATGTTGATATAATTTGGATTTTCAGATAGTGATACAAAGGGCACATTCCACAGATGCATTTCTGGTTTTACTGAGGTGATACCTGCAAGTTCTGTCTTTAGAGATGGCCATGCTTGACCTTTCAATAATATGAATGTTCCTGTAGAAAGTAAAAAAAAACACACAACACACACACAAAGTGACCCTGTTGCAGACAACATTAATTCAGAACTTGGCCTATGTTTTAAACCATGTATACAGTGTCACACTTCTATATTGATAACATCACATAATATGTTTAACTAGACATTAGGCAGAAGGTAGGTGGAATTAGGGAGAGGAGAAACCCTGAGTGACTGCAGGCCCATGTCTCTCCCAACTTAGAATGACTAGTGAGCATTACACACACCCCCACTTTACATTCATCAATTGAAAAGGTGGAACAAATCCACTATTTTGTCATTCTTTACCCATCCTGATTGTGAGTTCAATTGAGTATTTAAAGGTTATTAGATGATAACTAATCTCATCTCACAGTTTCAAGGTGGCTACTTTATGTTAGCAGAAGCAATCAGAATAAGCTTGACCCACCATGCTTGCTTGCCTCATTCAGTGCAAGTAGATACTCCTTGCTTTGTTTACTTGGGGTATGTTCTCTTCGAAGGGATGTAAGAATTGCCCTGCTGGATTCAATCAAAGGTCCATCTGGTGCTGCATCTATTTCCATTAGTAGCCAGACAAATGCCATATGGGATGCTTATCTTCAAGCAGTGTACAATGAAGGTAGATGTATGTGGACTATAGAAAGTAAATAATATGGCTGCTATCATTATGTTTATCACTGATGTCCTGTTAATACCTTTCAGACCACGTAGAAAGCTTTTCTGAAGGCTATCAAGCACATTTTCTCCACCATACCAGATATGCTGGTAGATTTTTCCTGGGGTGTATCCAGGGAGTTGTGGCAGCCTTTCTGTCATTGTGGTGGCATGTTTGGTGTTACACTGGTGAAGTGAGCTATCCACCACATACTATTACCCCTCAATCAGCTTATTTTCAATTTCCTCAGTACCATCACATATCTTTAATGTCATTTGCAGTGCAGTCCTTCACATGCTTCATTATAAGTAAGTCCCATTGTGGAATAAACTAGGTGAAATGCCATTCGCACACTTAGCATGACTGGCTTTTTAAAGGGAAACTACAGGCCCAGGGACCCCAATCTGCATTGAGACCCTGGCTTGGAGGGCAGGGGACTTTAGCTTTTAGGAGAGGGGCTGGTCTTGATTGAGATCACAGTACGAGGCAAGAGCTTAAGATCCTCTATTCCCCATTCCTGGGTCTTGCACTCCTGCAATTTACTTTTAGAAAGGCATTGATGCAATTACAAATTACATGAATAGCCACTTCTAGTTTGGCCCCAAGTTCAGTGGGGCTTACTCCCAAGTAGTGGACATAGGATTGCAACCTAAAATGTTATGTTTAAAAATATTTTTCAAGCAAAGCTTTGCATTTTTTTATGGAAGACGTGTAAATATTTTAAGAGATGACAATTCAGTTAGCATAAGCTTCTCTTTCATTGTTTACATTTTTAAAAGAGAATGAAGGCATTGAAAACCATTAATATACTAATTTTAGCCTGCCTCCAAGAGGTGCTGATTAGATCTATATATATTTCGAAGTATAGACTTCTGGGTTAAAAAAATGTTATAGCTTTGAAACTGCCCAGTCATTTTGTTACGTTCCAAATTAATTTTATGATACAATGCAGTTTTAGAAATGAGAAAGATTCCATGGAAAAATGTAGTAGTGGAAAAATTTCTACTCTACATCCGCAGTATTAACCCACTGAACACCAAATCACAAACACATTTGATCATTTTGAACTCTGTTACTTAAAGTACATTATAAGACAGCTTGTGGTTGGGTGCAAAATCAGGTTTTGTGTTTGTAACGAGTAATTCAGACTGGTACAATGAAGGTAGGAATCCTATGAAGGTATTATATAGAATGGGCATATGGAACATTAGACATTATATAGACATTATATATACATTATATATAGAATAGACATTATATAGAATGGGCATATAAACAGCTCTCGGCCCCATCTCTTTGATTTCCAGAGGAACCTTGCTGTTCTAGAACACACAGGCTTGCATTTGGTCCTGGGAAAGGATCTACTGATTGCAGAGACTTTCCCAAGTTTACCCATAACATACCCTCCAACAATTCTCTGATGAAAATAGGGACGTCCCATTCCATAATGATAATTTTACTATTTATAACCTCACACATCCTACTGCGTTGCCCCAGCCACTCTAGGCAGCTTCCAACATGTATAAAAATAATAAAAAACATTAAACATTAAAAAACTTCCCTATACAGGATTGCCTTCAGGCAGCTTGGGGCTCGAATAACTCCATACCCGCCAACATTTCTCCAACGAAAATAGGGACGTCCTAAGGAAAAGCGGGACATTCCATGATCAAATCAGAAACTGGGATGGCTTCTCTAAATCAGGGACATCCCTGGAAAATAGGGACACTTGGAGGGTCTGCCATAAGTATCTCCATTGTGGGAAAGGGGAGGACTTTTGATGGTGTTTCTTCCAGGTTCAAATACTTAGAATGAAATGAAAAGCAAACTGCAGCCAGCTCTGTCACTCCCAACCCACGATCCTTTTCTGCTTCTCCTCTACCTAAAGCCCCAACATTCTTTCATGGATGGGCATCTGGTTGGTCTGTGTGAGAACAGATTAGATGGACCTTTGGCCTTATCCAGCAGAACTCTTCTTACGTTCTCTCAGCTTTGTCTCTTTAAACACAGCCTTTTATCAATTTTTCTTCTCACTCTCTTAATGGCAGGCAGCTGTAGCATATGGGCAGATGGATTTGCAGATACATTGCCTGGCTTTCATCGAGAGTTGTACTCAGGTAAGCACAGGACAAGTGCAGAGGTTTCCCCATGAAATATGGAGGTCCTATTCTAATTAGACCTCTTCCCTATAGGACCATGTTTGTTGTTTGTGCATTTGATATATTTATATCCCACCTTGCTTCCATTACAGTGGCATATATAGGGTGTCCAGAGTTGCTGTGTCATGTGCTTTCAGACCATACTGGCTCAGTATCATGATTTGGTTATGCGGGGAACAGGGTGCCACCGGCAGACATGACCTGTCCTCCAGATTACATCATCTCTCAGTACCTCGGTGCAATTGGGAAGGGTGGTGGTCTTTGTGCTTCATCATGGTAGGAAGAGGACTCTAATGCAGTTTATCTCACCTATTTCAACCCTAAACTCTCTATGGACATACCATGGGTACCTTACTCCTTAGCTGTGGCCACCATTTTTTAGTGACAGAGGAGTTCTCTCCACTCCACAGATGAGCTGCATATTTTCCCCCAGGACGTGGTGCTAACACGTGGCTTCTTGGAATTGTCGGAACTGGCAATGCAAACTATCTTGCGCAGTGACTGTTTGGCCATCGATGAGGTGAAGCTGATTCGTGCTGTTCGGGAATGGGCTCATGTTGGATCCGTAAGTGCTCATTACGTGGCGAGGAAAGGGAGAAAAGGGAACAAAGGGAGCAGGGATTGAGGATCCCACTCACAGGGTTCTCTTGGAAGATGTATAGAGCTGAAAAAGCCATGATGGGGAGGAATGATTGTGGATGCTCCCTGGTGATAGCAGGTTGCTGTGGAAGTGGGGAGGGCATAATTTTGCCCCACTTAAGTTGGAGAGGCAGCAACAGAAGAGAGAGTGCTGATGCTCCATATAAACACAGGCTTGCGCAGTTGGTGGGTGGGGCTGGTTGTCTCTGCTGTATTTCTGTATTTCAGTCAGCTAGTAGTTATTATTGTCTCCATATGTTAGCTGTTTTAGTTTATACTGATGTTTAAGAGGATCTACGGTAATTGTTCTGTGTTGTATTTTTTGGTGATATTTTTATAATGTTGGGAACCACTCAGACAGTTCTTGGAGGAATGAAACAGTATATAAATTACCTAAATAATAAAAATAACTGCAACCCATTGGCCAAAGGCAGCAACTTACACCTTTCTTGAGTATATAAAACGTTTTCCACAGAATTATGTGGTTGGAAAATAAATGTCCAACCAACAAACCACTTCACATTAATAGCAGATGTTAATCTACAGTTATTTGCAGGTTTTCCATAGCATTGGCGTTAGGGCTCCAACTCTCTCACACCCACCCACACTGAGTCCACCTCCCTCATTTGATTACCACCAGGCCTGGCTCCAAGATAGAAGATCTTGGTTTTCAGACCAGCCAATCAGGCACCGCAACTGCAATATTCTAAACCTAATGAGCCAGTCCAGTGCTCTCCTTCAGTAAATTTGCTTAGAGCCAACCACCTACCAACCAACCAACAGAATCTAGGCCACAGTGTGTTCCAAGCAGATAAGAAAGGGTTGTAGGATAGAGCAACTGCTTTGCATGCAGATGGTCCCAAATTCAGTCCCTGAGAACTTGAGGCAAGGTTGGAAGATACTCCTGTCTGAAATACTAGAAAGCCCTTGCAAGTCCATATGGTAGACACCACTGATCTAGACACTACTGACTCAGCATAAGGTAGCTTCCAATGTTCCTATGATGCACTTGCCCCAGTGAAATGACAGCCATCAGATTTCCCTATGTTCTTATCAAAAGCTGCCTACAAAGCAAGTAGCTCCAGCTTAACTAAGAAAGAGAGATGAGACACATCCAGGAGAACATGGAAACGTTCCCACTGGTGCCCCCATCACATGAGTTTTCCCTATTTCTACCCAGCTGCAAGAGCACGGAGCAGGGCCCACTAGATCCCAGGAATTCTGAGGTGCCTTTCTCTGATACTCCACATCTCCCATTGTTTGACGACCCACTCCCTGGAACTGAAAATTATTTCCTTCCCTTTCCCCAGAGTTTCTGCTGCATCACAGCAGTTCAGAACTAGGACAGCTTGTGACATGATTGCTTATCCAGGTCTGTCAGCAGCCCCTCTCCCCTGGCCTGTGCTGATCCTGAACTCCCTTCTTGCAGGCTGTTCTAGACAGGACTGTGCACGATGTGGCAGCAACAGTGGTGCCAGGGCTGCGTCTGGATCTGCTGTCACCAAGTGAGCTGACCACGCTGGAGGAGGAGAACAAGAAGGACCAAATGATTCCAGTGAGAGAGGCTACCCACCTCAGTAATAGCTTTTTGCAGCAGCTTGCATGGATCACATGTCTCTCCCTGTCTTTAGAGCGCTTGCTCCTTCTTTTCATATTTAATTAGCTAAAATTAGTGGCAGAGAAGAAGCACCTTTCCTGTGGTTTGCAGAAGTACATAAGACTTTTAGGGGAGTAGGGAACCTTGAGGGAGGTGGGACCTAAAATAGCTCTGTGACGAGTGAGAATGCTCAGTGGCCGGAGCACAGAATACTGACTAACTCACTGGGGAAGTTGTGGAAGGGATGATGATACAGGAACAGAATGAAATATCCTGGAAGAAAGCATCACTGGGTCAGTGGAACCCTGGACAAGAACACATGTAGAGTTCTGAGACCAAGAGAGTTTGTTGGTTTACTAGGTGATGGCCTCGGGGCCCCTGAGAGAAGAGAAGTGGCCATCTCTACTTCTTCCATCTGCTTCCCACTGTATCCTCCTCAATTCTCCTGCTTAGACACCATTCTGCTGCATTACCCACCTGGGTATGGTTCCTGCTGATCTTCACTCCTGTCCAGCACTGGCCTGAATATAATGGATTTGTTTCTACCCTTGCCTAGGTGGAAAGCCTGGCTCAGGCCTGGAAGATGCATGCACTACGGAAGGGGTGTGGAATGCGATCCTCCTTGTGCCAGCGCCGGCGTGGAACACTATCGCGGGAACATCAACGCCCCCTTGACCCACAGCACAAGTGACATGGTGACACCTGAATAAGAAGGGGGTAATACCTCCATGCCCAGCCCATCCAACTTTGGTCATGTTGGCACTGGGAACTTGCAGCTGCTGCTTTGAATGCCTTGGGGGCATCCTGCCTGGAGCCTGAGCCTTACAGTCAATTGGCAGAGAGAGGCAGGGGAGAGTTCCAGTGTGTGAGGGGGGAAAGGCCTGGTTTCCATCAGAGGTAGACAGGTTCCATCCTAGGGTTGTGCAGTGGTACCTTGGGGTACAGACGCTTCAGGTTAAAGACGCTTCAGGTTACAGACTCCGCTAACCCAGAAATAGTACCTCGGGTTAAGAACTTTGCTTCAGGATGAGAACAGAAATCACATGACGGCAGTGCAGTGGCAGCGGGAGGCCCCATTACCTAAAGTGGTACCTCAGGTTAAGAACAGTTTCAGGTTAAGAACGGACCTCCAGAACGAATTGTTCTTAACCAGAGGTACCACTGTATCTAATATCTGGTTTTTGATTCTTTTGTTTCTTCCAATCCCAACCTGCTCTTAGGGTAGTGATGAGTGTGTCAGACTGAGACTGAGCAGGAAGAGAGAGAGAGACCCAGGTTCAAATCTCCACTTACCCTTGAAGTTCACATTCTCTTAGCCTGATCTTTCTCACACAGCACCAGGCATGCTTCCTTGGGGAAAGGTAGAGCCACCACTGAAAAGGCCCCATTCTCATGTTGCCATCCCCTGCACTTCCCTCAAAGGTGGCACATAGAGAAGGGCCTCAGATAATGAACACAGTGTCCAGATAGGTTCATGTGGGCAGAGGCAGTCCTTGAAGTGCTGGGGGTCCTGAGCAGCATAAGGCTTTATAGATCAAAACCAGCACTTTGAATTGAGCCCCCAAACTAGCTGGTAGCCAGGGCAGTTGTGCCAAGATTGTTGTTATATGCTCAGACTATCTTGCCCCAGCTAGCAATCTGGCCACCTTATTCTTCACCATGGCTCACCTACCACAAGGGGCAAAGGGTAGGAGGGACGTGTTTACTTGGACTGGTCATGGAAAGGTGCTCCTACATTGAAGTGAATGTTTTCATTGTAGACAATAGGGTGTGTCATAGGAAATCCTGAGCACTATCATATAATCAGCTACCATAAACAGTGCTTTCTTAATACTTTGATGCACTTTCTGTTAAGCAATCAGCTTATCACTTGAAAACTGCCACTCCAACCGACCTTCTAAATTGCACCCGTTACTAAAAGTTATAATTGCATCTACTCAGAGTAGTGCTTATACATGCTTGTCAGTCTGTGTCAAAGCACGGGAGCTAAGGTCTCCTTGACACTTATCTCACTTATCTCAGAAACATTGCTTACTATAATATGCTCATCTATATGAGTCACTTTTCCGCTAGGAGATTGCAAAAGTAACAAGGGCCAGGTTCAAAAGCTGGTCAAGTTGTGGGAGATGGTTCTGTAATGACCCAAGCCCTCATAGAAACTGGCTGTTCTGTGGGCAGGATCATCCCTTTGCACTTACACAAATAATGTTGTCTTTTCTTTTAAATGGAAATAGAACCTCATCTTAAAATAATAAGAACAGCAAGTATTACAAATAAAACTCATTCCCCTTTAACGTAATCCGAACAACTTCTTATGCTCTTTAGCATTTTCCAAAAAGTCCCTAGTTTAAGTAATATGAAGGAAACAAACAAACAAACCAAAGAACACATTTGGATACTGTACTGATAGCAGCAAGGTTGTTCATCATCCAAACTTGGATGTATTTGCATGGTTTAACAATGGACTTAGTTAAAGATAAAGGAACCCTGGACTGTTAAGTCCAGTCAAAGGCGACTATGGGGTGCATTACGATGATAATGATCATGATAAATTACTAATTTCCCAGTCTTCAGCCTAAGGTCCCAGAGCAGGTTACAACAATAAAACAACAGAAATAAGGTGGGTCCTAAAAATATACACCTAAATGTCAAAAACCAGGGTGAATAGGTGTGTATAGAGATGGGTTATAGCTGAAAAAAATTACTACTACTACTAATAATAATACAAAAGAACTGCCTTCAGAAGTTGTGTAGTTCTTTATCTCCTTGACACCTGATGGGAGGGCATTCCGCAGGGAGGGTGCCACTGCCAAGAAGGCCCTTGCCTGGTTCCCTGTAACGTCACTTCTCGCAGTGAGGGAACTGCCAGAAGACCCTCGGGGGATAACCTCAGTGTCTGAGCTGAATGATGGGGGTGGAGACACTCCTTCAGGTATACTGGGCTGAGGCCATTTAGGGCTTTAAAGGTCAGCACCAACACATTGAATTGTGCTCGGAAGCATACTGGGAGCCAGTGAAGATCCTTTAGGACCAGTGTTATATGGTCCCAGCGGCCACACCCAGTCCAGCTGCTGCATTCTGGATTAGTTGCAGTTTCCGAGTCACCTTCAAAGGTAGCCCCACACAGAGCGCACTGCAGTAATCCAAGCGGGAGATAACCAGAGCATGTACCACTCTGGCGAGACAGTATGTTTAAAGTGTTGAACAGCAAGGAAACACCAGGTGTGTTTTTTATACTACATGGTAGCAATTTATTTCGTACACCAATGAAACAGGACTTAAAGAACAACATTGCAACTACAGATGCCATAACTGTCTCTGTCTCCTTTAGTATGAAACAACTTTTATTTTTTTGGATGATGACGGGACTGTCGCTCAGATGTTGTACTTGATATATCATATTTTGCTGTAATAAATTACAGAAAGCTTTTATAAATGCTATGTACCTCCACTGGTGGAACAAGCTGAATGGGAGGGAGGAATAGGCTCAATTTCATTGTCATTATTTTATATATCTCCTCAAAATCTGTTTAGAAAACAACACATTCAGAGTAAATAAAATATCAGTTGGACAGAAGCAGTTGAAGTTTGCTATATCCAATATACAACTTACTCTCTATGCAACACAAATCAAAGGTTAGCTCCCTGAGCCTTGGGGAATTCCCTCACCTCCAATAGCCTCTTTCATGCAGCATATTCAGCCAATAGATGCTCCCAGAACTTCATTCTAAATTCCAGGGACTTTCCCCCCCCAATAGTCCCAACATTCTAGGAGTGGAACACATGGAAATGAACCCATCAGTCTGTATCCCCAGTGACTGACTTATGCAGAAGTAGTAACAGCTTCATTTTTAAAGACCAAGAAGCAAAGGATCTAACTGTAAGGGCCAGTTTCCCCCCCTAACAACACTGGCTCTGGTAAACAGCTCAGTCTTCATGTGGATGCTAGGGGTTCAGATTAACTTCTTAGATCAAGGTGTGGTGGATACTGTCAGTATATAACCAGAGCTCACCATGAATGGGATTTGACTGTACTGTAGCCTCTGGCACAGTTGGCCGGCCACTCCTTTTAAAAAGAGGCCTGCTAGCCAGCTGCTTCAGGTCAGACACAGGTAGGTCCTGTCTGGCACTGTTTGTTTGAGTACCTGGTTGCTAGGCAGGCAAATGGCCCAGGAAGTCCAGAGAAAAACCTGCTTTTCACTGTATTGGAATGTGCTGAGTCACCTAAGTCCAGGAGTTGCTTTTATTTGCTTCTCAGTTGTGGGCAAAGAACAGCTACCCCAGACAAAGATGTGAGCCCTTTGGGGGAATTGTACAAGACAAGTGCACTGGAAATAAAGTTGTGAGTTCGACCATTTTGAACACTGAAGTAAAACTAAGAGCTAGACTTAATGAGATGGTGGGAGATTCACAACTGGATCTCCCATGATTTTCAAAAATGATACGTGCAGCTGGTGAGGGGTGAGATTCAGATCAGGAGGGGCACTGAAGAAGGGAATTACTCTCCCATCTCCATCTGGTTTCCCGGTTAAAATTCTCCTCCTTCTGCCCCTACACAGCTGCTGTTGCCACTTCATGGATTAAAACATATGGTGTCTTCCTTCGTCCTGTAACAAAAAGATGAAGTCACAGGAACCCAGTTTAAAACGATATTAATATAAACATAAACATAAGATACAAGCCAAAGCCAATATGTGAACAACAATATAATTCTCTGAACAAATTGGTATGTGTAGACAGTGAAACAAATCTCCAAAATAATATTTACATTCATATCACTTTACATTGAGTTCTTGTGACTTGGTTACTTTCAGCTGGGGACTCCCTCCTCTGCTTTGCTTCTGTCTCCTTCCTCCTGTGTCACAGGCCCAATTTTCTTCTCTCCCATGGCTGCATTTGCCGTTTTTCTAAATCTGTTGGGAAGTCAGTAACAGCTCTGCCTTCTTCTTGTCTAGTTGCTGCTTAAGAAGCTGAGATGTGTTCTCTGGTCGTGTGGGACGATAAGGTTTTTAAATAAACCTGCGTTTTCAACCACGTACCAGTTTTTTCAAAGCCCACAAGTGAGTGAGGACTGGTATAATTATTATTTTAAATCAGGTTACGAAAAGTTTGTTCACTTTTTCACCTTAGGTATAACAACACAAACATCATCTACTGCAAAACATAGCAAATTACATACATACCACACAGCCATTTTCAAAACATCCTTCTAGCATTAGACAGCATCTGCTGCAGCAAAATATTCTCTATATTTAACTGTCTAATAGGTGTTGTGCAGCCTGAACCTATTAATGTAAACGTCACTGAATTCATTAGAACTTACCCCAGAGCCTTGGTGCGAAACTACACAAGACACAAGAGGTTTGTGTTTGGTTTTCCTGATGTTTCTGTTTCTCATGAAAAGCACCCTTGGAGTCCCAAATTAGAATGAAGGAGGGCCTTTTTAAACCCTTTCCCTCTTTTATCCCTTTCCTTGAGCTAAACCGGTCCTCCCCTCCTAATGCTATTTGCCCTGCTGAGAAAAACCGACCCCAATCTCCTTCATCTCATGTAGTTCAGTCCAAAGGCAGCAGACTTGTACAAACTGTTTTGCATACATGCCTACAAATCTGCTCTTTTTAGTATACAATAATGTTGTTGTTGTTTTTTTTAAAAAGAAGACTATGCCTGTTAAAAATAAGGACTGTCAAATCATTTTAAATAAGGGTGCACAGTCCTTGGAATGGTCTCCACCCTCCTCATATTGGGCAACATCAAAACTGGCCACGCCCTGACTCACAGCTATTCCCTGTCAGGTAGATTTTCTCCACAAAACCTATGGGGACTTGACAGAAATTTGTTCCAGATGCTGCACCTTTATCTTAAGGCCCAGGGCTGGGTGGGTTGGCCCTGCTGTTGTTTGGGCCTCATAGAAACTGGGAGGTGCCAGAAACTGGATGAGGAGAATGTGTCTTGTATAAATGTTACTGTCTTTATCTGGAGAATAAGGTCATCGTGCTCACAAAGCTATTCTTTTAATAGTATTGACTGTTGAGCTCATGTGGTCTAAATAACAGAAATGTGTAGCAGGGTTTTGCCTATGCCAGCCGTTTGTGTGTCTACATGGCTGGGGGAGACGGAGGGAGGAGTGGAACCAGCCCACTGTATGCAAATACTGTCATCGTCTCAGCATTTTTGGGATGATGGTGCCTGTCCTTTCCAGGGAGATTTCCTGGACAACCAGTCATAAGCCTGGCTGTAGCGGCTGCTGTGTAGACATACCCCAATACAAAGCAGGTACAGTGTTATCTTCTACTGGATCGTCTTACATTGGAGTATGTAAGCCTCTTTCTCACACAGAACTCTTAGTCAGGCAGACTGGGAATGCAATTCTTTCTGGGAATGCTTTGTCTAATGAAGCTATTTCAGTAATTCCCAACATGGCCACTCCCTCTGACACCTAACTACTTATAATACAAGGAGTTGTTTACCTACCACACCTTTTTGAAAGTGGAACGGAGATATTTTGGGATCATTACAATTGTATTTAACTCTTGTGAGCCAGCACAATTTGCATTTGAAGTGCTAAAATCTTTGAAAACAGGCTGCTAAATTACATTTGTAACCAGTCAGGCGCCTGTTCCTCTCTCTGCCAAGTCCATGGCAAGAGCACATGAGATCTCAGGCACCCACACAGGGTCTGTGTCCCTTTGGAGAACAGAAGATACAGTGGAGGCTGTCATGCTTTAAGAAATAGGGTTTATTCGCCTAATTACAACCTTGCTCTGTGTGGAGGGGGTCCAGATCTTACAGCATGACCCAGATCATTGCAGGCAGTTTTTCCTTCACCCTCACCATGATCTGTCTCCCCTTTTCTTCTTCTTTCTTCTTCCCAGAAGCCCCTTGCGCTCCCCCAGAGCAGTTACCCTGGCAACCTTCCAAATCCCTAGTCTCTGGTCTTACCTGGAACAAGGAGTTGTTGACTGGTTTGCAGCTTATATTTCCCCTGCATATCACAAAGAACCCATAATCCTAGCATTTATTAATTTCTAGGTTTTAGGGGGATTCCCCCCAATTTCTATAACAGTATATACACCCAGACTGCAAGAAGGAGAGTCCTGTTTAATTTGAAAATTTGCATACTTAGGATTCTTACACCAAGATCAATTAGTCAAATCAAAGATTGTCACTTTCACACATGGAGAAGGATTCTCTTGCTGGGTTTTCATCGGGTTCAGGACATCACACTCCACCAAACAGAAGAGAGGTGCTGTGAAAACTGTGGTAAATGTGCCTGCCATCATGGGAACAGAACCGTTAATCAGAACTGTGTAAACTATTTTGGTGCACCCTTAAATCTGCTTATGCCAACACAAAATCAAGAACCGTCCCATGACCCTTCTCAAAACTTTGGGAATACCCATTTAGTGTAGTTAAAAACAAGCAAATAAACCTGAGGCTACCCATTCAACACCCGAAGTTAAATGTACACTGGTTTCATCACCAGCTTATAGAATTGTCCTGTACAGTGGTACCTCAGGTTACATATGCTTCAGGTTACATATGCTTCAGGTTACAGACTCTTACAGACTCCACTAACCCAGAAATAGTGCTTCCGGTTAAGAACTTTGCTTCAAGATGAGAACAGAAATCGTGCTTTGGCAGCGCGGCGGCAGCAGGAGGCCCCATTAGCTAAAGTGGTGCTTCAGGTTAAGAACAGTTACAGGTTAAGAACGGACCTCCGGAACGAATTAAGTACTTAACCCGAGGTACCACTGTATCTCATTCCCAGACATGTTGTGGGACTATGCCAAAAAGCCAGACCTGAAAAAATATCCCTCTGTGGGCAAAATATAATTTCACAGAATGTGCTCTGTTTCCAAACTCAGTAGCCCTGAGAAAAATGTGTATTAAAAATACACTCCATGTCTGATTGGATATCAACCTCTACCAACCTGATACAATCTCCTTTCCTCCAAAGAGCTCTCAGTTTCTTTTATCCTCACAACAAGCCCATGAAGTAGAACAGGCTGAGGGAGGAGGATCAAGATCGCCTACTGTGCTTCTTGGCAATTGCCCTAATTATAGAGGGTTGGTGGGCATATGGGGATGCAGAAGGGGGAAAGTAGAGTGGTAAGCAAGGTTTCAAAAAGTACTGTACAAGAATCCCCTGTCAAATTATATGAGCATTTACCAAGAACATATTTGGCTCACTCAGACACACCCATTGGATCACTGTCCATTCTAGAGTCAAATTTATTACTCAGCTAAGCAGAGAGAGAACTTCAGTTAGTAAAAATTAGGTGCAGAGAATCATTTTTGTACTTCTGTACTGCCCTCTGGTGGGGAAAACAGATCTCTGGTACACATGATGCTGTTGACCAGGCCTGTTTGAATCCAGTTTCTTTGTTCTTTTTCAGTTTATTGGTTGATGAGAAAAAGCTGAAAGAACTGAATATGCACGAGAAAGAAGTAGGTGCAGAGAGGAGTGATTAATAGCATTTTTAATATTCATATTGTATATTTTAATAATATATTAAAATATTGTATATTTTAATATTCATAATGTATCATTATACATCTGGGATGTAAGAGGGTACTGATTTATGGTCCGCCACATATCTAAACCAAGGAGTAGTCAACCTTTTTGGACAAGTAGGCAAATTGGAATTTTGGAAAAGAGCTGTCTTTTAAAAAGGCGCCAGTCAGAAATGGTACCAGTCAGAAAACGCTGCCACAGGAATAATAACTTAATGCAAAATGACTGCCTAGAAGAGCATGGCATAATGCAAAAAGGTTGCCACGGCAAAACAAAAAACAAAAACAGAAAAAGAGAATCACAAAATGATGCTGGGGTACATACAGCCCCATCAACAGAGAAAAGAAGAAAGAATCCTAAATCAGCCACTCTGTTCGGAATGGAAAGGAAGGTGGATGTCCAGTTCTGGCATCCAAAGAAACGTGGGCCTGTTTAAGGAATTTTAGGAGAGAATGAGTCAGTGAAGACAGGAACTGAGCAGGAAAGGCAATAGACTTTCATGGGGGGGGGGGTTTTGAGCATATTTTTACTGTGACAATTTGCAGGTGTCACAGGAGGTACTGGTGAGCACAGTGGTCACACTGGTGCCCCCTGATCTAAGCAAATGGTCTTGCTCCAGGTTTGACATGGAACATTTTTTGGACCTGCAATGAGGTGGGTATGGATTTAACCTGTTACTTTTCAGGGGAACGCATATGGGGAATTCCCATATTCAACACCGGGGATGACAGAGGATAATAAATTAAGGCATTTTATCAAAAGAAAAAAATACAGGTTTAAACCAATATTTTTATTCTTATAAAATACAACAAAAAGAATTAACCAAAAGGGAACATACAT